TTCGGACGGGACGAAAACCTGAGGACACGTGTACACATTGGCGTGCACGTTAAAGATCCTTTGGAATTCGATATAAGAGTAGGCCGTAGGGCCGCTGTCTGGGCACAATTTCCCTCATAGCACACTGTATGGCCTATGCCCATCTTCATTAGCCCAGTTGGAGCAAAACAGTAGGACGTTAACCCCATTTCATGTCATTTCATGAGTTCGTGGAGCAGAGAAGAACATTCTGGGAATGGTGTGGAGGGCCTCATCCCTATTATTAAACTGATGTATTTTCTATGTCGGGCCGCTTTAATATTTTTATATTGCCGTTTAGCGAGATATTAAACCACAACCCCGGCCTCTTCAAAAAAGTTTTTAAACAGATAACACATGTTCCTTCTGGAAACACAATTTAGTTGCTCTGTTCAAACGTATCTTGTGTATCGAGAAACATCCAGTTGAGCAGTTTATTGACATATTGGAATCTGTCATCGCTTCAAGGTATCTAAACTCCAGATGAAACGAACAGTCTATTTATAATTCTTCTTGTCTTCCTTTCATTATACTCAGTAATTTCACTAGACCTCTTGTAAATGGTTGAATCTGGCACCGCCTTAAGGTGCCAATGTACAATTATAAACAAATGCCAATAGCTGTATGGAAAATAGACAAAATCTGGCGAAACTTCCAGATACACAGGACCTCATTAGATGACCAGCTCTCGGTGGTTAATTTCAACATCAGGCTGACTGGGGAATTCCCTAAAGGTTGGCCAGACAATTTATTATTAAAACAGTCCCCTAAGGAGTGTTCGGAGACGCGGATGTTAAGTCTATTATCTTTATTATCGATACGTGATTTTTAATATTGGTTTACCAGGCGTAGATTATTGGCGAGTGAAACAATATTTGTCTAGCTTTAATAATAAAATGTATGTAAAATGAATTGAAGCGTCGTCTTAATTTTCTGTACCACATGGGCTAATGAAGGCGGGCACCTGCTGATCAATATACCACTACCACGATCAATAAAATACATGTCACTTTAAACAGTTCAGACATTACTCTATACTCTCCATTTTGTTCTTGAAATAGAAAATACATACATTTATTTTGTATGGACTGAGAGTGACACTGTTAATTAAACGATGTACATGTACGTGTCTGCGATATCAATCGATGTAAAAGTTGATATTAAACCCCATTTGGGCAGTTGATCGTGTCACCTTGGTGAATTTTGAATAAAAAAATTAACATTAAAATATAGTATCGAGAGAGAGAGAGAGAGAGGGGAGAGAGTGAGAAATGGGGTTAAACGTCCACTCGACATAAACTAGGTCATTTCGGTACTAACATATGGTTTAATTTTATTTCAATAATTCGCTTGCGCGTAGGGGCATTTAGCAGTGGCAGGAAACCGGAGGACCCGGAGAAAACCCACGAGGTTGGACAGGCGACCCCACCCCTTGTCACGTACAACCGGTTATTCGAAACCACGCCAGTTGACTCAATGACAGGCCTTATGATACACCGCGCACGTTTTTTATATATAAATCTGAAATTACAAAAATTCAGTGAAATGAAATGGAGGTGTTAAGTTCTACTTTTCTGCACCAACCAGATATTAGTGAGAGCTTTTCGCCGTTCTTTGCCGGGTCCTCTCTTTTCTGCTATGACAAGGGGAAACCGCGCTGATTAATCCCGGGGAACTTTCTCGGTCAAAACTGGGACACCGTCGTTTTCCGATACAAGTGGAACAACAGAATCTTAGCATAGGATCAATGACAACGACAGAGACAGTGATACCCGGCTAGCATATATAAAATAATACTAATAACATGGTTGGAGTACTGGCTAGTTTATCAACTGAGATTGATGCTACACATATTGAATCAATACCTTAACACGGGACATTGATAGACGAATCGATCAATTAATTAATAACAAGCTTCATACACAAAATCTCCAGATTGTTAATCTGTCGGCAATAGAAAAATTAAGTGATATTGAGTCGCTTTCTCTTTTCTGTTTTGTCGACGAACTAAAGCTTCATTTGATTGTTTTGTAGGCAATGTGATGATCTATATCGGTGGTTATTGTTATTTCAAGATAAAATCAATATTTACTGATCACTGAATCACTGAATAATATCATAGCATACCTAGTAAAATCTAGACATACTTCAACATATTGTTGATGAAACCAGAGCTTAAAGATACATTATGGAAGATTCGATAACGGGTTGACAGTTCTCACTATAATAATTAAAAACTAGATAATGTAAAGTTAATTTGCTGAAAATTTCATTCAAATTGATCCACTGTGAACCAAGAACTAAGCGGTTGAAATTTCTGGCTAGCCTTGATCATCGTTACTAAAGTCAGTACGATAAACAGCATAGTCTCGATTATCCATTTAATCGTTAAATCGTGAAGGAAAGTTATGCAGTAAATCGGTTCATAATCCACTAAAGATCGCAGGCTAGCGATGGCATCTAGAGATGATTATGGTCTGGATCGCTTAATTAATGTCTAATTAATAATTTAGATAACATTTCAGGCCTATAGAAAGACATGCAATAGACAGATTTAGCTCTTGCATAATGTATGTTTAAGAGAGAGAAACGACATTTACGGCGATTATGCATTATTCCGCGAAAATTGTGCACTGCGTCTAAAATTATGTGCATGTTCGTTCGTTTGTAGAGCATAACGTTCGCTTTCAACGAGAGTTATATTGCAGACAGGAAATACTAGCCGTCCCTTCTTTTAAACGTGGGGGAGGGCTGGTTGGCCGAATGGTTAACGCGTGCGCGTTGGATCAGAAGATCTGTCATTGAGTCAAGTGGTGTGGTTTCGATTCTCCGCTTGTACGTGACAAGAAGTAGGGTCGCCTGTCCAACCTCGTGAGTTTTCTACGGACCCTCCGGTTTCTTCCACTCCATGGCAGCTGGAATTCTAAATAAGAGTAGACTGTAGCGGTGCTGTTGGGGTAAAATTTCACTCATAGCACACTGTACGGCGAATGCCCGACCTCATTAGACTAGTCGGAGCAGAACAGTTGCACGGTAAACCCCCATTCCATTTCATTTCATTCCATATGCACACTCCATATGCACACTTCTTCTATATATTAAATCATTTACATATGGTTAGCGTATGGTTAGCGTGTGCGCGCTGCATCAAAAGGTCTGTCATTGAGTCAACTGGTGTGGTTTCGATTCCCTGGTTGCACGTGACAAGAGGATGGGTTGTCTGTCCAATCTCGTGGGTTTTCTCCGGGCCCTCCGGTTTTCTCCCACTGCTAAAGACCTCTGCGAATTATTGAAATAAAATTGGACCATATGTTAGTCCCGAAATGGCCTAGTTTGTGTCGAATGGACGTTAAATCCCATTTCTCTATATATACATGTATCTAATGTACTGTAATTCTGAACTCCCATAATTACTCATTCGGGTACTTTATATATTTAATATACTCAGATTCTAGTCTTCTGTGTGGGTTAAATTAGCTTACAAATGAATAAAAATCAAAATAACCCTGGCATATAATCGAATTAATCGCATAATGGTTTCTGGTTTTCCGAATGGTGTGCTTTTTTGGATTTGCTTCCTAATTTTATTCATTTTTGATGAAGTTTTCCGTCATTGGTAGATTTAATATGGATTGAAATTCATCTATAAATCAGAATATGATGGATTATGACTTTCATGATATCACGGATATTTCATTATTGAACGAAGATAGAAAAATAATAACGTCTTTATTAAGTTGTTTTTACTCTCATATAAAATGGCTGCAAGGAGAAGTGGTTGATATTAAATAAAAAGTTATTATCCCAGGAAATGGGGTTGTTATAGGACATTATTATTATAGATAGAATATAGTGGTTTTATCTCACAGAAACACTATCGGCCTTTCAGCAAGGACAAATAGTTTATATAGATAATCGTTAAAAGACGTTTCTAGTATTATAAGACGGAACACAAGCTTTGAAGCGAGAGAGAGAGAGAGAGGAAATGGGGTTTAACGTCCACTCGACACAAACTAGGTCATTTCGGGACTAACATATGGTTTAATTTTATTTCAAAAATTCGCTTGCGCGTAGGGGTCTTTAGCAGTGGGAGGAAACCGGAGGACCCGGAGAAAACCCACGGGGTTGGATAGCTTTGAAGCGGCAATACACGCTAGTCAGAATAACTAGGTTAATCAGCTTTTAATTATACTAATTGTTGATTATGCATATTAATTTGAGATAATCTAGCGGTTTATGTTCCGTTACTTACAATGTTCTTGTATAATGCACATTGTCTCCAAGGGCCCACGGTGGCTCAGATAGTAAGACGTTTCCTCGATAACTGGAGGTCCCGTGTTTGATCCCTGCGTTGGCCGAGAAAGTTCATCGGGATTTTTCGGCGTGGTTTCTCCTTGTCACTGGTGCAGGACAGGCGACCTAGCAAGGGACACCGGAAAGTCGTTCGGATGGGACTAAAACCCAGGTCTCGTGTACATATTGGCGTGCATGTAAAAGATCCCTGGTAGTTCGAATTCAATATAAGAGTTGACCTCAGCGCCACTATCTAGGCAAATTTCCCTCTTGGCACTCTGTATGTCGTATTCCCGTCTTCATTAGCCCTGTCGGGGCAGAACAGTAGGACCCGAACATGATTTCTATTGCCAACCAATTTTAGAATTAAAATTCAACTTTCAGACTGACAAGGGATTCAAAATTCCTAAAATGATGACAAGCAGTTTTAAAGTAAATGACACGAGTGACCTAAAGGTGTAAAAATTAAATTAATAATGAATAACCCTATACGGTTAGAAGGAGTATACCCGAACTTATCGATGATGCTTGTCCTCAAAATATTATATTAACTGTGCCTGTTAACACAATCGCTTCTGCGGAAGAGGGAAGGGGGCTGAAGCTCATCTGGACTCAACACATAATACATGACATGCACTTCATATTTAGTGATCGTAAGACTAACAGAACAGTGTGTTTATATCTTACAGGCGGATTAAGAGATTTACAGAGACGATGTCCAGATGGCTATTTTGGTTACAAATGTCGGTTCCGGTGTCGCTGTCGTGGAAGTGAAAACTGTAATAAAGACGCCGGAACATGTCCAACCGGATGTGCTGATGGCTTTTGGGGACCCGGATGTCAGCTTTGTAAGTAAAATAAATTATATATATTTATAGTATTGCTAACTAGCTAAATAAATGATGGTATTGCTAATTGACTAACTTTTTATAATAAGTGGTTAGCTAAACACCTTCAAATATGTTCGTCATTCTGTTTATTTGATCATTGAAATAATCAGAGATGACATGAACATGTTAACTCAAGGCCAATTTTATGGATACACAATTACTGAGTTTAATACTAAGCGACGTTTATGTGTATCCATAAAATTGTATCTGGTGTTAATATATTCAATTACTACATGTCAATCACAGAAGACATGAACATAGTTTGCCTTTATATTATTTTACAATTTGAATGTTCTGCTGAAACGTATTCGGTGCCGGTGGACAAAATGGCAGGTGCCGGACAAAATGGCAGGCACCAGAAAAATTGTGTCTGATCACAAAGCCCGAATTTGTTCCCGACAATATCTGTGATAGATGTCGTATTTCCAGGATTGTTTATTTAATGCCTATCTACCTTGATTTCAGCTAACAACTGCTACTACAATGGACAGAAAAGGAATTATATGGGAACAAAATCTATGACCAAATCTCTGTACACGTGTCAAAGATGGGACTCCCAGTATCCTCATCAGCATTCTTATAAAGAACTTGATTTCCCTGAAAGGAAATTCACGTTGATCTATAACTACTGTAGAACGACCCCTGATTCAAATGAACCCTGGTGCTACACCAACGATAGGAAAGTCAGATGGGAACACTGCAGCATCAACAACTGTGGTAGGTATTGTCTTGAAGGTGCATGATGCTAAATCTGTCAATTGCAGGTCTTTTCCCTGGTTTCAAATGTTATATCAATTATTATTTAGACATTTACTCACGTGTCAAGCCCATAATCAACTATCTGGTCTATCGTAATGCTGAGATATGAAGTAATAATAGTGGATTACCGATGCGTTATGTAAGATTTGAATAAAGAGCTGACAATTCTCGAGTATCTTTGTTAGGAGTATAAAAGGTGGCAATTTTGAAACATTAATAGAAAAAAAAAATTGTTAATGTTAGATAACAACTGTTTACGTTACGGTTAATCGATTTTAGTAAAATTGGGGATACTATATTATTATCGAATTTAATACCGTTTATACCATTTCACTATTTGTCCTTTAGTCCAGATGGCTTTAAAGATGTCCAGCGCCAAAGTTATCTCCGCCCATTGGTACATGAATAATATCGGGTTTATATATTTCTGTTTTATTAGTTTGTCCACCAGGAAGGTTTGGTAATAATTGTGAGAAGGAGTGTCACTGTAGAGATAGTGCAGAAACCTGTGATAGTATCATGGGATTTTGTAGTTCTGGTTGTGCGGCTGGGTGGAATGAATACGACTGCCAAACAGGTATTATTATCGATATTATACTTTACCATATCATGCACACGCCTGTATATGCAGGGGGAAAATGGGGCCCCGGGGATTGTTCCCGAGACATTTTTAAAGATAATGAACTCAAATTTGGAAATATTGCTGCGCTGAAGACTCTTTGGATCCACCCCTGGTTCCGACGGTCCAACAGCGTAATATGGTCTCGCCATTAGAACGTCTAAAATAGCTATACATTATCATTTTCCGGCGTGGTTCTCTCTTGTCAGTGATGTAAAACGGAGGGTCTGACAAGGACAGCTGTCTAGGGGGGATCATGGTGGCTAAGTGAGTAAGACGATGGCTCGCTAGCCTGGAGGTCAGGTGTTCAATCCCTACATTGGCAGAGAAAGTTCATCTAAAATTTCCGGCGTGGTTCTCCCTTGTCAGTGATGCAGGACAGCGGGCCTGACAAGAACAGCTGTTTAGTCGTTCGGATGGGACGAAAAACCGAGGTCCCGTGTACACATTGGAATTCGATATAAGAGTGGCCGTATGCCGCTGTCCGGGCAAGATTTCCCTCATACCACACTGTATGGCGTATGCCCGTCTGCATTAGCCCAGTTCGGGGCATAACAGTAGGACGTTAAACCCCATTTCAAATACCAAGGTTTAGATCCAATGTGAGATCGACGTGATTGTCCCTGTATTATAGATTTATGTTCATGTAGTTACTTTTTGCTGTGATTTACAAATATTTAAATATCACCCATTTCACTGCTTGAACATACGACATAAACATCATTTTATGCTAGCGTGGTTGGCGTTAAACATCGAGCCTGGTTCCACCTTAAACATAGAGTCTGGTTGACTTTCCCTGATACACGTATGATCGCCATTTAGACGTACCTTGAGGCGGAGGAAGACCCACATTCCTCTAGCACTCCGGAAAATATATCCGAACTCAAAGTTGTATAAACATCATCATCATCATTGCATCATTGATTGTTTTTTTTAATTGTGATGTAGAGTCATTAGAATAAAGCACACGATGTATGATTAGTGGGCACGTTATTCATTATATACAAGAAACAAAGCATGCTATAGTAGAACGTTTATCAACAGATCTGATCCATCAAATATACAGAAAGCTTTCTATCCTTGACCCATGATGTGCATATCCCTAACGAGGAACCGCTCAGTTATGGCGCGACATTCCTACTTGATTTTGCGCATTCCTCTCACAAACCAATTATACGTCACAATACACAACTACAGAAAGCAGTGTTTTCGTACAAAATGGAAATTATATCAAACAGCGAAATTGCCCCCCCCCCCATCCTTCCCAAACGATAAATACACAATACACACAACGAAAAAAAATTTTTTTTGTCAATGCAGTGGACCAAAGTCAACCTCTACCTAGATCAAGGTGATCTGAATTGTGGATAAAACGTCAACAAAATAAACATTAAACTCAAATCACGACACAATACACAACGACAGCAAGCAGTGTTTTCGTATAAAATGGAAATTATGTCAAACAGCGAAATTGCCCCCTCCTTCCCAAACGATAAATAAACAACACACACAACGAAAAAACACACCATTTTTTGTCAATGCAGTGGACCAAAGTCAACCTCTACCTAGATCAAGGTGATCCGAATTGTGGATAAAACGTCAACAAAATAAACATTAAACTCAACACCAGTCCAAACCCAAATCACGTGATAAGTAGATAAGACCAATGATTACCCCCTTAGCCTTGCGACAGCCATGAAAACAACATATTGTACGAATATAGATATTTTTTACAAGTGTGATGATTTGACCATGCATGTTTTTTGTGTTTGTTTATTTTATTAGCTGAGAAATGTTCAGAGAATAGATATGGATGGGATTGTTCACAGCGCTGCCATTGTCAGGATCCCGGTGACTGTGATCGATTCACCGGACCAACACGTAACTGCGCATGTCGTAAAGGATATTTTAAACCGCCATTTTGCGAACCAGGTATATATAGATGTGTATATATATTAAATGTTGTTTTAATCACGTGTTCTGTCTTTTGGCATTTTGTTTGTTTCTTTGTTATTTTACCAACCTAATTGTCTGCCGCCTTTCGGAAATGGGGATATTTAAAATTACATAATATAGATTTTTATGTCGTTTGCACTTTCTTACATAGATTGGTTTCTCCAATATGATTGAGGGGGTTGGGTGGCAGAATGGTTAACGCGTTGCATCATAAGATCTGACATTCAATTAGGTAGCGTGGTTTCGATTTCCCGCTTGTACGTGACAAGGAGTAAGGTCGCCTGTCCAACCTGGTGACTTTTCTTCAGTTCCCCGGTTTCCTCCCTTTGCTAATGACTCCTACGCGCAAGTGAATTATTGAGATCAAATTAAAACATGTGTTAATCCCAAAATGACCTAGTTAAAAATCCATTTCTGTGCCGATGAGCGACTTTAAGGCTTTTCGCGAGATTCAGCTGGCACAACTGCAGATCGTTCACATGTATCTGGGAAGTCAAACTTGCATTAATATTGTTTTTATGTTATACTAGTGTTATTAAATATCGTGTTATTATCTTAGAATCAAAACGCTTCCATAAAGAAAGTACTAGCTTGTACGAAAAAGATAAAATTAATGTTACTTTATTCATCTAAACCCCATAAAGACGGCAGCACCAAATTAGTAGAAAAACCAATGTAAAGGGCTATAATTGAAAAATTTAGGACCAACATATTTCAAAATAAAAGTACTTTTGATTTTGTGTTGTCGTAAACATTTAACCTTGGCATGTTGGGCATTTATTCATTTCTATGTCACCTTTGTATCTAATTATCTTTATTTTAAATATGTAATCCTGAAGTATACATACGTACAGATTATTCTTAAATTTTAATTATAAGGAATCTAGTGTAACACTTTACACATGATTTTAATTCATTTACTCATTCTTGTCGTACACTTTTTAAAAATAATTCTCTAACATTCAACAAAATATTCAACGATATAATTTATAAAATATTTTTAATATTTTCAGTTACTGAACCGAGGATTGTGTCCTTTAAGAACACCAAGGTCAATCCGGGTCAGAGTTCAGAGTTCAACTGTACTGTGGCAGCGTTCCCTACTCCTTACCAAACCGAGATTCAGTTGGTTGGACCAATGGGAAGAAAGATAACATTGATAGATTCACAGCTCCTTGACAAATATCTTTATACCCGAGCCAATAGATTCCTCGCTGATTACGTCATGGCGGGAGATAGATTCATGTGTGTCGTCAAGGCAACGGCGGGTCAAACACAGATGACTGTTGTTGCTGAAACATTTGGTAAGAATGATTCTTAATGGTTAGTTTTATAGTCAGTCGTAATTTTATTGTGATCTTCTGTAGAAAAGAAAAACGAAATATTTTCACCTTTTAAAATCAAACAGACCTCCGGACAGGGGCTGACTGGTCATACGTGCATTACGGCAATATCGGTGGGCTTTAGACTTGAAATTACTACCGCAAACTCAAAAATTTGACATGACTTATTACTTTTAAAACTCAGATTTATCGTATACACAACATGGGATCAAAAGCAACATTACTACAATATTTGAATTAATACGATGGATAGTTTAATTTATATGGCAAAGAAATAAAACATGTGAAGGGCCGATTGATCGAGTAGGTGATGTAATTAATTTCCAGGTTAAACAGTAATCAATAATAAGAATCTGGATAAAACAGACTATCACCTGGAGAATAACACGACGCATTTCTCTAAACCAATCAGTTAATTTTATAACATCCTTGTAATTTCCTAATAATAAAGTAGTTTTTTTATGATGACATGAGTCACAAAGTCACTGGTAGTGATTGATAATATTGTAATTAAAATCTATCAATATTATAGATCAATTACTTCACATCATAAACAGACACGTAATATCGATTATTATAAACGAAACAAAAAAAAACAGGGAAATGATTGAATGCCTTTGGGTGTTAAAAGAAAAAAAAATGCTTCACTTCAAAGGTTAATCAATGTGAATAACTATGAAACAATCTATTTGAAAAAGAACTAGTACAATACTACTATATGGATCAGGGATCGAATAAGACGTCATCGCGATCATCGATGCGTAATTGTCTAAGGAACAAGCTGGCCACCTTTCATGTCGATCGTACTTGAATTGGCCGAGAATTATACTTTTTTCGGAGATGAGTAGGCTTTGGGGCCAGTTCATGTCCAAAATCTAAATTAAACTATTTTATGAATAATATGGGAGATCACATTATTGATGGGATGAATTATAACAAAGAACTCTATTTCATGTATCATTTAGCCATATTTAATCTCATTCTGCACATGGAGATCCATCTGCTTCATTCCTCGAGAATATATCTCTGTCCTAAATGGCCGCCATATCAAAAAATTGTATGCTGTTTTGTAATGCGTTTCTACTCCGTTTCACATCTGTCATACATACAAAGACAAAATAAACTTTTTCAATTTTATTAAATGGAAGCAGAAGAAATTATACTCAGCAAAATTCTTGAAGTATATTTAGTGTTTTCGACTAAAAGCGTCGATTTAGGACTTAAAATGTCATACATACAAAGACAAAATAAACTTTCTCAATTTTTTTAAATGAAAGCAGAAGAAATACTCCTATCACTATGAGAATTTTAGCGTTTTGAAATTCCACCTTAAGTTGCTGGATGTAACTGCCTTTTAATGGATCACTATGAAAATGTCCGTATGTTGAAATTCCAGTTTGGTGGAAATAAAATTTCTTTAACCATTCATAATTTCAATAAAAAGGTCACGTGGATAAGCTAGGGTATACGTACCTATACCAATATCATTTATGTGAACAGTTCACTTGGCTTATACTGGGTGCTGTATGAGGGACATTTTGCCCAGCCAGCGACACTACGGCCTCTTACGAATTCTAACTGTCAAGAAGGGGTCTTTTACGTGAATGTCAATGTGTACACGGAACCTCTGTTTTTCTTGTCTCTTGTCAAGCCCTCCGTCCCGCGCCACCGACAAGCGGAAGCCACACCGGAAAATCCCAATGAACTTTCATGGCCAACACCGGAACCGAACACGAAACGTCCAGGTTAGCGAGGCCAAGTTTTACTCAGCGGCTTCCTGTTTATTCATTGTACTGTACATTTAATTATTAAGAGTATATCATTTACCAGGGAATTTGCTAAAATGCCAATGATTGTACATTACAGATCTTCCACGCTTGATTTCACCGCCATTTGTAATAGATGGCACCACTACAGCTCACAACGTGACAATTCGATGGCGGAAGTGGAGTAGAGAACAAGGGGACAGCGGGGAGGGGCCTATCCTCTCCTACAGTATATACATCAAGGTGAAGGGTACAAAATCATACCAGAAAACAGGAGTGGTGTATCATTCATTCTGTGACACGGGCTGTCGATATGTTGTAACGGAGTTAATGCCCTTTACAGAGTATGCCATCTATATTATTACCAGTCGTGATGGCGCAGGGGGCGAAGGTGTGCCAGGACCGATAATTCATTTTACCACAGCTTGTAAAAGTAAGTTCATCAAAAATTGTTTACAGGTTGTGTCTCTCATCACTGAATGTCATATAATTTCCTTTTGCATTTTCAATTAGAACTTTTAATTGAATATTTAAAATAAATGAATTACAACTATACTAAAATGTCTGATGTCATTGGAGCGATTGTGATCGAATCTCTTGCAAACTACAATATTGTGAACATTGAATCTCTGAACAAAATTATTTATCAGTCCAAACATTTTACAAAGATATGTTGATTTGAAATTTTGTCAACCTTCGGCATCCACTTCAGGCGATATAAAGGATAATTTATGGTCAACACATATTTTTTACTGAAATATTTTATTAATCCGATTGATCGGATATTATCTACCATGGATATTTTGACTTTGATATTTTGATTTTGATATTTTGACATTGATATTTTGATTTTCTGTATTTATTTAAATGTTAAATAAATAAATCTGAGTACATTTTCCAGAGCCGAGTGCTCCTCCAACTCTGCTGAGTGTTAAATCTGAGAAACAGATGAATGGTACAACAACCAAAACTAGAATCAGTCTCACATGGCAGGTCAGAACATTGATATATTAATGAAATAAGTTCCTCTAATAAGTTTATTAAACATGCATTATGGAAGAGCTAAATCTGCCTATTGCAGGTCTTTCTTTAGGCCTGAAATGTTTTCTTAAGTATTAATTAGACATTAATTAACTGATCCAGGCCTTAATCAACTCTCGATGGCATCAGATTTCTCCGATATTAAATGGTTCAGCGATACTTTGATTTAATCAAATATGGAGGACCGAGACTTAGCTTCGATCAACCAGTACGGTGGTTGAAATTATTGCACACGTCTGTCAAACCTCCAAAGGCTAATATCTTCGCTTGCAATAGAGTAATTTGAATGAAATTTTCAAATTATTCATTTTACATCATCTACTTTCGAACTATTATAGCAAGAATGGCTAGTTCTTTATCTAAATCTTACATAATGTATCTTTAATGTTCGATTTTTCGGATAATTTTTCTTGAAGTTATGGTACTTGTTATCCTGTGGGCACTCTATAGGCTTAAGGTATCATCCGAATGGCTTGTTATTTTAATTACTTTAAATATTAAATATTCCTTGTAAATACCCCCGTTAATTGGCAAAGAATATTTATGGATCACTTGAACTACATATCTTTTCCCTCTAATAATCCTTTTGTTGGGGAGCAATATAGAGATGTTGTTTAACAGTTTTTAAACAGTTTCTGCTCTTGACTACAATTTAAAACTTTTTCATGATTAGCTCTTATGTACTCTACAAAAGCATTTTGCCTATTACCCCCCCCCCCCCCATCCCCCCAAAAAAGAAGAAAATTGAACCACTACGCTACTTTCTGGGTTCCTACTGTAGTTCAAATAACGTTGAACTATTTTCAACGTGTTTCTTGATTAGCCCCCTTTTGTCCTAAATCGCCCCGATTTTATAAGCAAATTGTTCTGCTTAGTGCTTACCTTGGTTTTACACCCGACATCAGTTAAATTAATTTATATGTTTATCACTACAGGATCCAGATAGAAGAACAATCAACTGCCGAGAAATAACGTCCTACTCTGTTCAACTGACTGACGACGATGGTTCAGGTTTTACTCAGACCAAGACTTTTCCTAAATCGTCTAAATCTGGAGTTGTCAAGGACCTGGACCCCTTTTCAACATATTGTGTTAAAATACGATTTCAAACTGATGTTAATTTCAACAGCCCCTTTTCTACCAGTAAATGTGTTACAACACCAGTCACTAGTAAGTTCATTTTCTTCTTGTCGGGCTTAACGTCCACTTCCATCTAGGTTTAGATGGCAGACCGAAGTTTCCTAGAAAGCTTACAAGAATAGCCAGTCTAGCGTATGTTGTAGTATAAAAAGCATTCTTAGAACGTACCCTCTCACCACATCAACTTTAGATGAGATCCCAAAGGTTATAAACAGGGCATAAGTCTGTGGAATATTAAATACTGTTTTGGCTGAGCGATGTTTCGATTTGGGCTTTTCTACTTCTTCTCAAGTACAAGCATGGGATCGAAGTGACAATCTTTGCATCGATGACAAAACGTATGATCTAAATAGCAACGTTTCGAATAGACTTCTCTTTAGTTTTAAGGAAGCAATATTAGTAATAAACAATACCGGTAATTGTATTTTATAGAATCAGGTCCTGTGTCTTCAAGCCCAATTACTAAACGTCACTGAAACAATTTAAACAAAGGGTTCTATTTTCATATAATGTCATATACGCTCTTCTTGTCTTTATTAAGCAATAATTGTGCTTAACAGTAATTATATTCCATAAACAGCGTGTCCTGTGTATTTTCAGTTCAATTTGTCACTAATTGCTATTGAAACAAACTGTTGTGGATTTATATTTGTCGATATTGGCGACGCTTCTCTTTATCAAGCAATCAAGCAATAATTGTACCAAACAGTATATACAGGTCACAATTCTATGGAATACAATTACTGCTATTAATTAGACATTTATTAAAAAAACAAGACCATAATCAACTCTCGCTGGCATCGGATACTCGAGATTTTAACTAGATTAAAACGGTTCGCCATTTAAAAATTTAATTTAAAAATGGGAAAGCGAGACTAAGTCCCGATTATACCAGTGCTTTGGTTATCACTGTCAAAACTACAAACAATGATGACTTGGCTGAGAATGAAGTAATTTGAATGAAATTTTCAATATTTTCTTTTTTTATCATCTATTTTTGAATTATTATAGCAAGAATGACCAACTCTTAATTAAACTCTTAACTAATGTATCTTTAATTTACTAAACAGTAACTGTATTCCATAAACATTGTGTCCTATGTACAGTTTAATTACTAAATGGCACTGACATAATTTAAAAAAACGGGGGGATCACGTGGCTAAGTGGGTAAGGCGCTGGCTCGCTAGCCTGTAGGTCGGGTGTTCGATCCCTGCATTGGCCTAGAAAGTTCATCTCGATTTTCCGGCGTGGTTCCCCCTTGTCAGTGATGCAGAAAGGAGGGCCTGATAAGGACAGCTGCCTAGTCGTTCGGATGGGACGAAAAACCGAGGTCCCGTGTACACATCGGCGTGCACGTAAAAGATCCCTTGACAGTTGGAATTCGATATAAGAGTAGGCCGTAGCGCCGCTGCCCGGGCAAAATTTCCCTCATAGCACACTGTATGGCGTATGCCCGTCTTCAATTAGACCAGGTTAGGTGCAGAAGAGTAGGACGTTAAACCCCATTTCATTTCATTTCGTTTCATTTAAACAAACGGTTGTATATCAATATCCAATTTTTGAAACATTGTGTTATTGTATTTAGTTCCAGGTAGACCGGAAGGTCTGAGACTAATTAAAAGGTCAAGTACATCGGTGACCCTAAGATGGGAGCGACCTGAGCCATCATTTAGTAAAGAGACGTTATATCGTATAATATATAGAGAAGGTACATCATCTAGTACGAAAGGTTTAGAATGGAGATCAGGTGATGAAACAGTAGAATATACATTAACAGGATTAAAACCTTTTACCAGTTATCAAATACAGGTAGGTCCATATCTTCAATAATTTGTCAGCTGGGGCCTGTTTCACACATTTTAACTAAGATAAAATCCAAATTTTAGTAATTTGATTGGATAATATCAGGTTGATTTTAGTGCTTAGCCAATCAAAATTGAAGTATCTAATAAAATTTGGATTTTATCTTTAGTTAAGATTTCGAGAAACAGGGCCTTGGTCTATTTTTCAGGTATTTTGTTTACTTCGCATTCGCAAGATATATTTTCCAAATAATATGACAATCTTTATAGTACATGTTCTACACACAGAATCTATATATTAAACTGTGTTTATGGTGTTGAAGTCTTTGAAATTCCATGGCATGTAGATTAAGTGACAGGGAAGTTCTTCAGTTGATATTATTGAAACTACTGACAATCCCCAACGTAATAACGGATAAAGATAGATTTTAATTCCATACACAATTAAAATATCGATCGATCGAAACCACATTTCACGCAGTTGATGACGGGGGACAACCTTTAATAAAGTTCAATCTTTCCTGTTTCAAATGTATGATTTATTTTGTCTGTGATATTTGTCGTGTGTAATTTTTCAGTTATGATTGTCTTGGGGAACATTTTTGTCTGACTGCAAGCCCAAAAGGCTCAAGATAATCCTGCCTTTAATGATGCAATTAGTGGTGTGTGACTCCTTAAGCCCCATCCCCAGTGGCATTAATCGTATAAAAGTTCGACAGGAATGTCACTCAATAGACATTAAAATTATTTCGTTTGAAGTAGTGCGCATTATGTTTCGTTTTGAGTGTTAATATACACAAAGAAAAAGGTCAAGCCCCCTGTGTATTTTTCACAATGTCTTGTCTTACGAGTTTTGACGTTGAAACCCCGAATACATAATTTCGGAAAATAATTCCAAGATGAGCATATTTGAGTCAAAAAAGGAGTCAGAAACGCAAGACAACATCGTGATTGAAGATGAAAAATGTCATTTAGATTCCACAGATTCCACAAATCATCAATAGTGAGTAAACCCGCCACGTGCCCGGATGACAACTTCCACCCGTCGTCTCATCCCTACAGTAAATCGTCTGATCTGCTAAATGGACAACCGCTGCAATAGGTCCTGATCATAATCCGTTGGAGCATGCTTGGGGCATCTTGGGGCGTCGAGTACAGACAATTGTGTCAGAGTGTGTACATGTGGGTTCAATGCCTGTAGTCGGCGCCCAAAACATGCTCTAACGGATTATGGTCAGGACCTATTGCATGACCATATGTTGAATAGTGTTTCTGACTCAGCACCTTCATACTTATTGTGTCTCCTTTTTGGCTTAAATACGGAATCTTGAAAAAATTTCCATAATGGTGATTAAAATCAGACAAATCGGATAAATTCTTTATGTTTTCTTATCGTCAAAATTCTATTATTGCAAATTACATTTGTTTTTCCGAGATTATATTATCAGGGCCTCAGCGCCAAATCCTGTAAAGACAATTCATTGTGAAAAATAAATATTTCCTGTATAGTTTAACCAATCTATGAATTACAAATTGTAAACTTATACGGTAGTTACAGTGGCCCGGTGCAACAGGCTAGTTTACTCTTGTCAGAGTTGCAGGGCGAAGTGCCTGGAAAGGAATAGCGTCTAGTCGTTCGGGTGGCACGTGTGGGCGTTGGGGTACACGTAAAAGACAACTTGGAAGTCGGATTTCGAAAATGACGCAAATTTCATTCAAAGTGACGTATTTTTCATCGGAAATGACGTATTTTTCATCGGAAATGACGTATTTTTCATCGGAAATGACGTATTTTTCATCGGAAATGATATTACGTATTTTTCATTGGAAATGGCGTATTATCCGTTTCATGTCTTCTCTATACACAAACCATGTGGGTGTTTATAATGACGAATCACCAACTCAATAAAATTCCACTCCTCGTCAACAAATATTGATATAAATAATAAACCGGATGAATGATAGCTTCACCAAAACAAACATTATCATTGATTCTATGTTGTTCTATTAATTTAACAGACATGGGATAGCTCTTATAAAATGTCAGTTGTGTAATTGTAGTCTCAGACACCCAGAACCTCCTAATCTTCAACGTACTGAGGGTCTCAATGATAGAGACTAGTATAATTATGGAGGTGGCTAACATGACGAATTCCACTTAAACAGATTGATTCGTAGACACGATATCCGAATTTAAAAATCATTCCCTGCTTTACCATATTTTTGGAAAAATACAAAAGAATATTTTAACAAACAAATACAACATGGAAATTTCAATTACCATGCTATAAAAGATTAAAATAGTAATAGCAGATTCTACTTAAACAGATTGCGCTACAATGAAATATGGAAATATTCGAATTGAAGAATCACGCTATATTTTATACTTTCTGTGAAAAATTATTGAAGTCACGTAATATAATATTGTTGTATAATTTGTAACTGATGTTGAAGTTCATAATGGATCATTTCGTTTCGTTGTTTTTTTCCGTTTCAATTTTACATCTTGTTCGTGCTAATCTTCCCTCACAGCACAGTGCGTGGACTATGTAAGTTTTTGTAAGCAAAAGGGTGGGGTCGGGGCGAACGGATAAACGCGTGCACGTTAGATCACAAGGTCTGTAATTGAGTAGGGGGATGGGCAAATGGTTAGCACGTGCGCGCTGTTTCATAAGGTCTGTCATTGATTCAACGCGTCTATGTAAGTTTTTGTAAGCAAAAGGGTGGGGTGGGGCGAACGGATAAACGCGTGCACGTTAGATCACAAGGTCTGTAATTGAGTAGGGGGATGGGCGAATGGTTAGCACGTGCGCGCTGTTTCATAAGGTCTGTCATTGAGTCAACTGGCGGTTTCGATTCCCTGGTTGTACGTGACAAGGAGTAGAGTCACCTGTCCAACCTCGTGGGTTTCCCCCGGGGCCTCCGGTTTCCTCCCACAGCTAAAGACCAATTGTTAGTCCCATAATGAGTTAGTTTGTGTAGTGTGAACGTTAAACTCTCTCCCCCCCCTCTCTCTCTCTCTTTCTCTCTCTCTCTCTCTCTCTCTGAAATTCACTGGGTTTGATAGCGGATTTCTTACTTGGATATTAACACCAGTTTCCACCTGTTGCAGGATGACACTAGTTTCTAATTTTGTGTTTTGAGAATTTGAATTTCGATTTTTAATAGGATCAATGACATGTTATTAAATCATACACTAGTGCATTTGGATGATAAATCACTGGGTTGATTAAAATCAATTTAAAATCGATGCCAAAGCTACTCCATTTACAATAAATAGCATGAGATATAGCAAGGCTTTTAATTGTAGTAATGTTTTGGCTAATTGAATTAGCTTCAGTCAGGCGATGAGTACAAACAATCTACTCCACGCGACGATATTCTTTCTAAACAAAGAAAAACGCCATAATTAATGATATTAAAATGAAGCTGTCTCCAGGGAAACCTCAAACTGAACCCGTCGTTTGATTGCACAGAAATTTAACACAATGTTTCATAAGCTACAAGCTATAACAGTGTAATTAATGTTTGTATTTTTAATGGTTTTAACGTTCAGAGATCTCTTTCTTTTCTTTCTGTTGTTTAGGGTATCATTTCAAATGTTGCGTGTTTCTTTAACGTTAGAATCGAATTTCTTAAACCCAGTGCCGACTCGTTCTCGTGCTGTTCAGTTCAATTACCAGGAATCTATTAATACGCTTAATTATCTTAAACTAATTACACGAGCTGACATGACCTTTTACATTTTCAAATAAATAGCTTTTCACTAGGAAATTGGCTATTAAATTAATATATATTAAAGACTCTATGCGCTAGAATTAAAGACTCTATGCGCTAGAATTCCGATAATCATTTGTATATATTTGTGGTCGTCGCACCCATTCCGTCCAATTGTTTTGAAATTTATACACAGAAAGAACTAGAAGTCAATCAAAGTATAACTATTTCTGATAATCACTACATGGGTTGTTACTCTTGATCAGTTTTTAGTGTTTTGTGAACCCTTCTACAGAAAAATAAATATGCAACAACCATTGTAGACGGCACAGGCGAATTAGATTAAAACAGAATACATATGCAACAACTTTTGTGGACTTTCGGACGACTTATTGTTTCATTACTTGGCAACCCATCTTCCTTATTTTTATTTTTATTTAATCTCATATACAATTTGATTGGTTAATATGATAGCTTCTTCAAAGAAATTGTATCACATCTCAGTGTCGAAGACCCCAAAAACACTTTTAATTAACATCTATCTTAGCTGTTTTATTATTTCGTTGCTTGGCAACCCATCTTCCTTATTTTTATTTAATCCTATGTACAATTTGATTGGTTAATAAGATAGCTTCTTCAAAGAAATTGTATCGTATCTCAGTGTCGAAGACCAAACAAAAACACCTTTAATTAACATCTAATTTTATATTGGTTACAATTTTTTTTTTATCATAGATACAAGCATCCAATAATGCTGGTACTGGACAACTAAGTCCTATCTTAACAGCAAGCACAGATGAAAGTGGTAATTATAAAAATATATTTGATCTTTTACTTTATCGATTTAATCAGTCATGACCTCCTTGGTATATTCATATGTGTTCCATATATTTATTTTTTGAGACAATTTTCAATGTGGATCATACGTGTAACTGTTTGTATTTTTTTTTTTTCTATCTGGTATTTTATAATTCTTTATCAGTTTTGTGCGCTGCTTAGCTCATTGTTGAGTGGGCGCTTTTTTAAATCTTGTGATAATACGGAAATAAGAATTCATGAATGGCAAATTGGTTTAAAATGCAAAATTCAAAGAAATAACACCATTTTAAATATGCACTGTATAATTGATACTATTTTTTATAATTCTTTATCTGTGCAAAGTACTGCTTAACACATTATTGAAGAAGCACTCTATAGATCCTGTGATAAAAAATAAGAATTTGTGAATAGCAAATTGGTTTAAAATGCGAATTTCACAGCAAAAACATTATTTTAATTATATACTTGATAATAATTATTTCTGGTTTTTTTTCAGTGCCTGGACCGGTGCCAAACTTCAGAAATACATCAAGATCTCGACATTTTATAAAACTAGAGTGGGATAAACCGGATGAAACTACAGGACAAATATTATATTTTACTGTAAGTATTGGTTATATTTTGATACAAAACAGTAGTCGGAAACCATTCTGTTCGCGCATGCTTTACCCATAGCACACATGGTGTATACCGGCCTTCCTTAGACCTGTTGTTGTAGGACGTGAAACCCCATTTTTTTTGCAAACTAAATACGTTGCCTCATTAAATAAAGTTTTTATTATTTCATTTCAATACTATTGAAGATTAACCGTAGTTTTATATATATGTTTCCCCTCATCAGGTAGGCGTGGCGCCGCTGTCCGGACAAAATTTCCCTCATAGCACTCTGTATGGCATATGTCCGTCTTCAGTATTCCTGTCGAATCAGAACAGTAGAACGCTAAACCCCATTTTATTTTATTTTATATCTATAGGTAACCTGTTCATCTTTAAAATCTCTCCACAAACCTGATATAAAAGACCACCGTGAGATCAAACTTGATCCAGCAACTTTAACTTACACTATGCAAGGTTTATCACCGGCTACTCAATATGCCTGTAGTGTTAATGCCAGCAACCAGAAAGGTTCCGGGGCACAATCCAGTATTTTAACTTGGACGGAAGCTAAAGGTAGGCTTGTTACATTGTTTAGATATGTGATTTGAAAACAAACTTTGTCCAACCTAAAACTGTAAACAATAACGGTATAATTTAACTCCAACGCTACTCTAAGTAGGTCATTTTCCACTAACATTGAGTAAATTTTCATTTAAGTAATTCACTTCCGCGCACCAATGCGGGGTGATAGCGTGCAGTATTTAGATAAATTTCACGAAGTTGGCGAGACCAGGTTTTTTAGGGGGCCTCTCTGGATGTGTATAATTTGTATTGATTTATATCTACACTGGATGTGTATATGGATGTGTATAATTTATATTGATGTATATCTACACTGGATGTGTATAAGTTACATTGATGTATATCTACACTGGATGTGTATAACTTGCATTGATGCATATCTACACTGGTTGTGTATAATTTACAATTTTTACATTGATGTATATCTACACTCAGTCACTGCATGTGTATAATTTACATTGATGTATATCTACACTGGGTGTGTATAGTATATATTAATGCCCATCTACACAGGGTGTGTATAATTTATGTTGTTTTGTTTTGTTATCTAGATCTGGACACACCGGTGACACCTAAAGTAGTAGAAACATCAGACAGAACGGTTACTATTAACTTAAAGACAAACGGGGACCAAAGCGTCAGGTGAGAAGACAAATTTGTCTCTGTCTAGAACCACTTCGTGAAGAAACATCTTGGACTAGATGGAACAAGTTCAAGAAACGCGTTGATCTATGTCTAGATGGCCAAATTCCATGGTTTCCAACGAGTGTCGGTCACGACCTCCTGATTCCGGTCATGACATGCGAATAGAGTATGATTGTCGTTTTCTAAATGAAAACTTCGCCTCCGTTAATGCTTTGGGAATATCTAAAGAATGGGCCTGTAGAGTTAGCAAACGATCGGGAAATAAGACCTCAAAGGAACTGTTCGCAAAGGAAAAATAGAAGAGTGAACGCAAGCCGTGCTTAGATTCGTTTCAAGAATATCAGATGCCACCTCGTATTTTAGCTAACAGTATCTACCCCGAGGTACTAGTTCCATACGGTGTCTAATCCCCGCTCTTATTCTCTTCTCATCTCCTCTTGTAGACATTTCGTTTATGACCGGAATCAACCATTCATGACCGGAATCAACCATTCATGACCGGAATCAACCGTTCATGACCGTTATTCGACGAAGATCGCTGGAAACTACAGGGTTGTTGTAGATAAAGTCAAACTTGTTTTTTTTTTACACTTTTGTATCAGAAATTCTTCTTAACCAACTAATGAATTTGTTTTTTAAGGAAACTTTATGTTCTTCGTTTCAGTTTTTATCGTATAATTGTTGAAAATGTTGGATCAAGGAAAAGAAGAAGTTCGCCGACGGATATTGGACAAGTTTCTAGTGATGCTGTGACGGCGGCCAGATACGGATCCAGTGCCTACATAGCTGCCCAGTTAGAACATCATATGGCGAATGGACCGTTTGTAGTTGGAGATAACAAGACGTATGGCGGGTTTTATAATGCACCGTTAGAAACTGATAAAAGTTATAATATCTGGTTCGGTGCTTACTCAAAAATAGATGGGGTGAGTCCTTTAGAGTGTCACGATGGGGCGTAAGCCTTTGTCACGTTATTAAAGTCTGTGTGCGTCATTTGCATTTCTCGAAAAATATCTAATGTTCGTCCGCTTACTCCTCGCTAAAATGTACATAAACTGATTATTTAACATTTAAACAAAATCAAGATATCAAAGGTAGATAATCTCCGGGTTTGGATTCAGTCGGGTATAAAAATGAAATGAAATGAAATGAAATGGGGTTTAACGTCCTACTCGGGTATAAAAAGAGGCGCATCAAATATCGTCTGTCCCGATATTATATTTAAAGACCCAACGTTCACATTGTTGTAGTTTGCAAGGAATTACACATGTCCCAACTGACATGCAAGTAAAACAACCCTTGGACGTTGGAATTCAATACAATAGTAAGCCATAGCGCCGATGCCCGGGCAAAATTGCCCGCATAGCACAATACATGGTGTATGGCTGTCTTCATTAGCCGAGCCCGAGCAGTTAGTAGGATGTTTAAACCCCATATTATTTCATTTCATTTCAATTTGCAATATTGAAATATTGGAATCGCCTACTGATGTACAAAATCGCTTCTCTTCTTGCGATTACCTCTACAAGTGGGCAATGAAATTCAAGAGACTTTCAACCATTCGTATTTTACGCTATCTTTGTCATTAATAATACCGATTTTTTTGTATTCTATTTTGTTTTTAGACTTTACGCCAATCCTTCTCTAGAACAGAACCAGTTGTAGGTATGTCCATTGTTTCATTTTAAATTTATCGCTTATTTAATTTTGATGAGATAAAAATCGTCTAAACATTATTGTCATACACGTAAAAGAACCCCTGGCATTTAGTATTCGAAATAGTGCAGGTGGAAAAGCCGTTGTCTGTGCAACTTCCTTCTCTCGCATTGCACGTGTAACCATGCAATTGGAAATTACCCTGTGTTGGTCTCCAATTGAGCTTGTATTAAACTCTATTACATCCCATTTCTAAAATCACTAATTATACTAGTCCGTCCTACTCACAAGTTGTAAATAGTTACTCAAGTTTCAGAGAGATCTCTTCTATCGTCAACGTAATCTGATTCCTGTCAGCGTACACTTACTACAGTCATTATTATATAACATATGATCATAGACCATTATCAAAAGAGGGAGAAATGATACCAAATACTGTAGTTAAATGAGTATTGAGAGTCCTGTTCCGAGTTCACAAAATATTATCAGACTTAAGTTAACAATTTACTCAAAATTGTTCGCCTTATTTTAACTAAGATATAACCCTTTATAAAGCTTTTGCTGTTTTAATGTATCAAATACACCAATAAGAAACTATGTGCAAAGTTTTATGTTTCTGGATCAAAGTTATTTCTCTTAAACAGTGATTGAAAGTTGAGTCTTAACTTATGTCTGAGATTGCTTTCCGAACTCGGGCCCTGGTCTAGCTGGATTTCCCCAATTCCTGGCTTGTGGATAAGACTGCATTGTATCATGTAACCATTCGTTTGTCTTTCCAGTATGAGCAGTGTCAAATGTTCTCGCTGCTTTTATCGTATTTATTATACTATTTGTTTAACTTTTCAGTGCGAGCAGTATCTAATGAAGATAGTAGTAGTCATATACCAGTTATTATTGGTGTCCTTGTTGTTTTTATCTTATTAATTATACTATTCGCTGTCCTATTGGTTGTTTGGAGGTAAGTAAAGCTCGATTCATTTTCTTCGGCTTCTGAAATCCAAATCCAAACTGTCACTTTCATTAAAGATACATTATGTAAGATTTAGATAACGAGCTAGCCATTCTTGCTATAATAGTTTGAAAATAGATAATGTAAAATGAATAATTTGAAAATCTCATTCAAGTTACTCTATTCCCAGCGACGATATTAGCCTTTGAAGGTTTGACAAGACGTGTGCAATAATTTCAACCATCGTACTGGCTGTTCGACGCTAAGTCTCGCTCCTCCATTTAGCTTAAATCAAAATATGGCTGAACTGTTCTAATCTATTTAACATCGGGGAAATCCGATGCCATCGAGAGTTGATTATGGCCTGGATAAGTTAATTAATGTCTAATTAATAATTTAGAAAACATTTCAGGCCTAAAGAAAGACATGCAATAGACAGATTTAGCTCTTGCATAATGTATGTTTAAGTTATAATTAGTATCGTGTGTCATTCTATGTTACTATATTTGGAACATCCTATACCACATCTGGATTATATAGTTCATATCCTCTTATATACAGCTCAATATAGTTGTTGTTCAATCCGACAAAAAATTTGATCCTATTTGGTTTATAGTTTTTATAGTTCCAGTTTCGTTTTATTTGTCTTTACTATTGGGGTCTGGAATGTTACTTGAGTAAACTAATAAAATGATCTGTCTAGTAAAGGTTTACACGAGGAAGGCGTCTATAGAACAGTAGAGAAGAAAACAGAAGTAAAATATAAATAGATTAAAATACATCATCTATGTGACCCCTGGGATCGCACAACTTTTCAGCTCGGTATCGACAGTGTTAAAAAAAACGAAATGGAAGTTAGATCTTTATTTTAAACAGGCATTATTTGGCGAATAACTTACAAGACAAAAACCCACATCGGGAATTAATAACAGTGATTCCCTAAAAAAAACCAAATGAGTTGTTTTCGACCTAGTCAATGATCAATATTTCTTATTTATTTTTTTAGAAAAAGAAATTCCTCAGCTGAAAGAGAAAAATGTGATTTCCCTAATTTTGGCCCCACCATAATGCCGGAACCTGATTCCAGTCCTCCATTAACACCTATGAGTAAGTGATTAATATTATATGATACTTTATTTTTAATCACCTATGGTTGGTCCGTCATTTGAAAGGATAAATGTCATTTGAAAATGTAATAAATGACTAAAGTCATTTGAAAAGTACAGAATTTACGTCATTTGAAATTAAGCACAATGACACAATAACGAAGTCATTTGAACACTGATGTCATGAGTTAAAACGCATGTCGTCAAGAAAATCATCTGTTTTCATTATTTTATGATTGTTAACAAATTTATTTGTTTATTTTAAATTGCTGCTTAAAGGTTTTTCGGAATTAGGTGAGACATTGTATATTTTAGTTGTATTCAGTGTTGTGTTCTATTATTGTTATTAATGTAATGGGATATAAAACGTTTTCTCCCATGATACCATTCTACAGCAGACATGATGTGGTTATCTTTGTTTCTAAAACACCTGTTGCCACACTTACCTTGTTCTGCCAATAAGAGGCGTGTTTTTTTTTAGATCTTCTTAACCTTGATATTTGTATTCATACACCTTGAAGATAAAAAAAAATCCATTAATTTGGAAATATTTCAAAACGTATGTGCTATACCAGAGCCATATCTAGACAGAGTCTGGTCAATTGCGGCCATGTTCGCCGTTATGTTATACACTCTGTAAGTCTAATAGATCAACATTAGAACTGAGTGTCTGTGAAAGGAACTGGATACCAGTTCTGTATAAGAAATAGTGGTCCAGAACTGTGAAAGAATGTAATTGCACAGCTCTAGGATATGACAAAACAGCAGTTGGTTACCCAATAATAATTGAGACAATCGTTGGCCAGACTCTTGCTGTATATTGCTCTAAGGGGTCGGTTGTTCAACGCTCCGTTGACTTATAACGACTCGTTAACATGGAGTTAACGGATCGTTAACTTTAACGGGGAGAAAGCCCCGTTAACTTTAACGTGTAGTTATCTTGCTGTTATATTTAACGAAGGTGCTGAGCTCCGTTATCGCTTTAACGATGGCATTAGTCGGCCCTCAGCCAAAGTATACCCTTAACAAAAAGTCCTGTTATTTTTATAGTGTTTCTTGTAGGAAACTCTACAGTTATCATTTTGACTTTAATCAAGAGTTGTGAACATACTGCACAGTTGTCTCATTGTCTTCAGTTTCTTGTTAATACTAACTTTTCAGTGGTTAAAAACTAAGATTTTAATTCTTAGCCAATACAAATGGTGAATTCTTAAAATAGTTCATTTTAAGAATTACGAATAAGGCCCATGTACTATAATTTGAAGTTATAAGGTTTTATTTTAATCTATGTGATATATGCATATCTAATTGTATTTCCAGCTAATATAGAAGCTGAACCGCTGATTATCCCATCCTCCCTGAACGATATAGAATGTGAGCCTATTTATAGCAACGTAGGCACCAACATTCCACCAATAAGAGTTGAGGATTTATGGGATTTTATTAAAAACAGTAAAGAACACGATTATGGTGGTTTTAAGCGAGAATACAAGGTACTGGTTTTGATTTGTATGTTAATCTGGTGTCGACCAAATACAATCTGCACCCAATAAAGAAATGTCTTTAGACCAAGATGGACTTCACAGCCTAAAATAAATCGGAAAGAAATTTGTGATAATGTTTATTAGATGGCGTTAGGTTAAGCAGAATTTCTGTATTTATCAAAGCTTTGATAGCCACAACGAATCTACAGGATGGTGTAGTATATTTGCCTTATAAAAGTATGCATGACCAGTGTGGGGGGGGGGGGGGGGGCTGGCTGTTAAAGATAATATATGTTTTGGGTTTTTTGTTTTTTTTGTAGTTAATACCAGCCGGATTGATAGCTAGCTGTGAAGTTGCCAAGAGAAATGAAAATAAACCTAAAAACAGATACGGCAACATTATAGCATGTAAGTTAATAGTTACGTTAGCAAGACCATCTGATATCACTTCTTATTTTGTTGTTGACCTAACAATATTTAGCACCAAGAGTATACCCCTACTAATGTTTGTTGGGTGTTTGTGACTTCTTGTTATTTGGTCGGGGGTGGGGGACGAATTGTTAGCGCGTGCGCGTTGTATCATTATGTCTGTAATTGAGTCAACTGGCGTAGCTTCGTTTCCCCGGTTGTACGTGACAGGGAGTAAGGTCACCTGCCCAACATCGTTGGTTTTCTCCCGGTCCTCTGGTTTCCTCCCACTGCTAAAGACCCCCAGGCGCAAGCGAATTATTGAATTAAAATTGAACTATATGTTAGTCCCGAAAGGAGCTAGTTTGTATCGAATTGACAGTCATATGTTGGAAATAGAGTCATTGAGTATACATACATAGAATCGTAATTTTATGCAATCATCTACGATATGACCTAATATATGTTTGTTTATTGTATAAAGTGTTCTAGTTTGGATTATAATATTATCATCCCGTGTCATCCCATCGATCATTCCGTTCCTGTTTTCCTTCCAGAATAATTCTTATAAACTGTTCAAGATATCTCTATTAATGTGTTCCTACATAGTAGTTGTTTCATTTGCTAATTAGAAATTTCCTGGATTTAGTTAGTCATTTTTGTGTTTCCATCGAAGCGAATTTGACTTCATTTTTGGTTTGTTGTTTATCTTATAGATGATCATACGAGAGTAATGCTGGTACCAGAAGATGGCGACCCTACAGATGATTATATCAACGCTAACTATATAGATGTAAGTACATAAACTGACTCAGTAAGAGAGAGAGACAGAGATGGGGTTTAACGTCCACTCGACACAAACTAGGTCATTTCGGGAGTAACATATGGTTTAATTTTATTTCAATAATTCGCTTGCGCGTAGGGGTCTTTAGCAGTGGGAGGAAACCGGAGGACCCGAAGAAAACCCACGAGGCTGGACAGGCGACCCTACTCCTTGTCACGTACAACCGGGGATTCGAAACTACGCCAGTTGACTCAATGACAGGCCTTGGGATACAGCACGCACGTGCTAACCATTCGGCCATCCACCCCCCCCCCCCCCCCCGACTCAGGAACCAGGAGGTCCAGAGTTAGACCCCGGTATTGGCTGAGAAAGTTCTTCGGGATTGTTATGTGTGGTTTCACCTGATCAGTGGGGCAGGGCATCCTGTGTACACGCTTGCAGATGGCCTTCGATGAAGACTTTCCTCATTAAAAACTGCATGGTGTAAAAGAGTAGGACGTTAAACCCCATTTCATTTAATTCCTATCCTTTATGTTCATATATTTTACAATGTGTTTTAAACGAACAAACCAACATGGACATCTCAGATCACAGATCACAAGTGACGTATTTACATGTTAAGAGAAAATAGATTAAATTTGGGTCATGATTCATCATTATAGAAATCAAATAATGGCAGCCATCTTGAATTAACAATAGTGGCCATCTTGGTACTCGATAAATTAATGAGTGGAACAAATTGGATTTACTGGAAGCCTTTTGACATTTGGTTTAATTTATAAGATTGGTAGTATTGGTAGTGTAGTACTAAATCTACTTTATAACCATTTGATGTCATGGGAAAAAAACTTAAAAACCACTTATTGGGTCTTAGTCAAGTCTGCCTTTTTGTCTAACTAGGGTTTTAGTTTAACTTCTATTTATTGAAACATATATGGAAATACGCGGTGAAATAAATGACGTCTAAAATATTTTAAGTCTCCGTGTGTCATTTGCATTTATCGGACAATATCTATTACGGCCTAATCCACGTTAATATGTACTCACTTTGGTTATTTGACATTGAATTAAGAAAGCAAAATCAAAATAATCCCCCGGCTTGGATTCAATCAGTTAAGAAAGAGGTTCACTAAAAGCATTAGCGGAGATTGTCGCTGTCGATGGTTTTTGAACATATCCCGTTTTTTCGTCTGCGCACTGGATGCTGAATGTTCACAAATTTTCAATTCGTCATAACTTTGTAAATACTGAAATAACTTTGAACCATTAAACGTATTTGTATTATTATAGTCACCCAATCATATATGTCGAAGCCCGTTTGTAATCCAGTATTGTTTGTAAATATGCTGTGTCGATTCGAAGTATAAAACATTTTATCTTATTTTAAAATATTTATTTCAGGGATATAATAAACCAAAAGCCTATATAGCAGCACAAGGTAACCTTTTATTTTACTTATTAATGACACAATAATCGTGGTTAAAAGTCACACATTGACTATAATATCCTATATTTAATAGGTCCTAATAAACCAACTATAAATATCTCATATTCAATGGGTCTTAATAAACCAACTATAAATATCTTATATTCAATGGGTCTTAAAAAACGAACTATAAATATCTCATATTCAATGGGTCTTAATAAACTAACTATAGGTATCTTATATTCAATGGGTCTTAATAAACGAACTATAAATATCTTATATTCAATGGGTCTTAATAAACGAACTATAAATATCTTATATTCAATGGGTCTTAATAAACTAACTATAAATATCTTATATTCAATAGGTCTTAATAAACCAACTTTAAATATCTTATATTACTATATTTACCAGGTCCTAATGCACCAACTATAAATGATATATGGAGAATGATGTGGCAGTTAAATTCTAAAACAATTATCATGTTGACCAATTCTACAGAATCAGGAAAGGTAAGAATAATCATATGTTTTAACACACAGGTGTAATAATTTTGATTGCCAGGTAATATGTGATGCTGAGAACTCGATAATTTGTTTTTAAAAATTCAGTTGAATTTACACCATGCCACTACCATGTTAGCATGATAAGTATTTGTGATGGGTGACAATCATCGGTATACGAATATATAGGTATTTCTGTTAGGGTGACCCGTGCAGTCTACAAGAAGTTGGTCTCGACACGGCTAAATGTGCACGCTTCAGTTGCGTGTCTCGAACTGATTTCTGACTACCCCGCACTCTCTTTGAGTCGATAAATAGCCATGGCACGTGCAATTCTCTACAAATATATCAACTATTACAGCCGTAAAAAATCTATTGTTGACGATTTAGAATAGCAGTAAAATTTAGCTTCTTGGTTATTACAGCAGCTTTAGAAATTACGTTTGTTTTATTTTTTAAATTGCTTTATCATTAACTGTACCGTTAAGAGCGGCATCTTTTGGTTTAGTACAAATAATATCTCTGAAACACTCGGCTTAGACAGGAACATGATAATAGCAGTAGTTTCATTTTACTTTTACAAGTTTCTTAAAACAATTGTTGAGTTGTCTAAAGTGCTTATTTCTAAATTCAATTTCTTGTTCTAGCTTTCTGTTATGTTTCGTAAAAAAGTAGTCTTGATTATCCCGACCTGTCAATCAGACGTAGAATGGTCGATAGACTGGTTAAGCGAGACCAATTTCAAAACAAGGGCACGTAACCTATCTTTTTCTCAAAAGTGTCTGGATGTTATGGACGACACTTGGACCCAGTTTTCAGTCTATTATTTATAGATGATTAATGGTCATAGCTTATTAAGTACAACATGATCGTTTATTTAGTGACTATAATTGTGTGAAACTGATTTGAGGCTTGGCATATATATAAATATTGTGGCGTAATTGTCGAGATATTTGGAGATATTTATTTATGGTGGGTCACCCTAGTTACGTCCAATGGGGAGCATGCGCATCCATCTTGCTCAGAGGTTTACTACAATAATTGTGACTGTTCGATATTTGGACATAGTACAGCACTTTCTACCACTGATGTGGCTATGTCTTAGCTCAAAATCATGCATATTCACCAAAACCTGGCAGAAAATGTATTTATTTAAACCCTTTGCTTCGATTCCACACCCGAAATTCAACAAAAACACCACCTAAACGACGGCGGGGGAGAGAGAAAGTCTATAAATAAATTTTGCACTATACTCGTAGGAATTAATCGTCTCCTGTGTCCATTTGTCAGTTGAGGCTACAACATGGAGGAATGTGGGAATAACCATGTGATAGCACTGGCAAGTGCATTGTTTATACAGTGCACTTTTGTTGTATATGCATCGAGCGGAATGTGGGAATAGCCATTTTCAACGACCATGTGATTGCACTGGCAAGAGCATTGTTTATATAAGGCACCTTTGTTGTATCTGCTGTGGAAATTACTATGTGACCGGATATTCGTACAGTTAAATAATAAGTAGACTTACCGTACAACTGTTAATTGATTTTAAGCAATACTATTTTCAGGATGCCATTAAGTAAAAAAAGGCAACGAAACTTGTATTTGTAATTTGATTTCTAATAAAAGTTCAAGAATCCTTCAAAAAAAATATTATTGTATTAAAATGTTAAATTGGTTTATTTTATTTTGTAGAAAAAATGTGAACAGTATTGGCCAGATTATGGCAGTGAAGAATATGGAAATTATACGGTTCAGATATTAAATTCAGATTTTCTACCTGATTTTACTATTAGAACCTTCTTATTATCAACGGTGAGTAGTTTAATATACTTAGGGATAAGTTAGAATTTGACAATATTCTGGATCATAAAATGATACAGAAAGAGAGAAGAGACACACATATATAGATTCATATTCCTGAAGCAATGGCCCGAGAAATCCCTCTGGTCATTGCTGGATTGACTAATCATACTTGAGCTTTTGAGGGAGTGTGTCTATTCTTCCCGTTCAATCAAATCTATCCGAGTACAGCAACATGACAGCCCTTCGTTTAATCTGGGGTCTTCATCTAAAACTTTAGACAGTGACTTAAAGTATTAAAAACGGTGAAAGTATTGTTCGTCTCGAAACAGTTTTGTTTACACTGTAACCGTTGATAGCCTCGTTTGTCACGCAATTAGTTTCTCTGATATATTCTGCTATGCACTGGTTAATTGTGCGTAAACATTTCGTAAGTCATGACGTAACGTAATGTAAACAATGTGGAGCTCTGTTTAAACCCCCAACCTCGTGGGTTTTCTCCGGGTCCTCCGGTTTCCTCCCACTGCTACAGACCCCTACGCGCAAGCGAATTATTGAAATAAAATTAAAACCATATGTTAGTCCCGAAATGACCTAGTTTGTGTCGAGTGGACGTTAAACCCCATCTCTCTCTCTCTCTCTCTCTCTCTCTCTCTCTCTCTCTATCTCTCTCTGTTTAAACCCGAATGACATTGTTACTCAGTTAGGCATTGGTTGTTAATCGGACTATTGACTAGTCATAATTTGGAACAGAAATTTGCTGTCATTACGGCAGTGATTGAGTGGGATTTAGGTCTAATGAAATGAAACACTGCTAGGAGTATGATGAAGATAGTATAAGTTGTCGCTCAACAAAAATAATTTTCTGTTTGATTCTGTACCTGTTCATCGACGACTATAAAAACTAGTTCAATATTTTAACATATCAAATCTCGGACAGGAGTCCGGTTCACTAAGGGAACGTAAACTACCATACACACACTTGCAGTTGTGTTTTGGAGAACAATATTCTATTTACGTGCAGCTACATGTTGGGTAAGACAATTGCTCGGGATTTTCCAGTGTGTTATTCCCATGTTAATGACACAGGCCGGGGAATGGGGGGGGGGGGTGACAAGGAATAGCGTGTAGCCATTTGGATTGAACGAAACACCGAGGTCTCGTGTACACGCTGACATGTACGTAAAATATTCCTTGACATTTTTGTTCGAGCAAACATATGCCCGTGTTCATTATACCTCGTTGGTGCTGAACAACAAGATGTTATATCCCATTTCATTTCACTTCATTCAATAAGTGTTGGTACTAACGATCATCTATAATGCTATCTGCAACCCGAGTATGGATGTGAGAAGAGCTGGTCCCCAGTTCAAAGCTACTTATGGCTCTAATTCCAGCCAATTTTCTGGTCTTAAGAAGAAATTGATGAGGGATTAGAGGCGATCTTCAGTCAACCTCGAGCATTATTGGATTTCGCAACTTCCGTAGATAAATAGGCTGGTGGACTCAAATAACATTTACGAGGACCAGTTAGAGAAATTAAACCGCCCATTTTAAGATATTGGCAATATTTTTTGTAAGATATCTCTAAATTTGAAGTTTAATGTAGAAGGCAGATAAATGTAATTTGAATTCTGGTTGTAATTTAACTTGGATTTTAAAAAAAAAATGTACAAAAATTAGAATCATGAAATAGTATGAACAGAGGAGGACCGCACCACATCGATTAAAACATAAATTCACAAGACTAAAGTCTGTCTCCTACGGGCGTGAATTACCCTGGAGTAGCTTGTAGAGCGTAGGGTGACTTCGTAGTCACGCGACAGTGATGCGGCGTAACGCCATAGAAATAAATACACTGGAACGCCAGCTCACGTCTACTTCCGGTACAATTTGTGAGGACGAGCGTAGTTCGCTCCAAGTATATTTAGTTCTATGGTGACACTTACGCAACATGCACGTCAGGTGACTCAATCATAGCGCCAACACTGCGACGTCGCAAGTTTATTTTGACCGTCAGTTACCGCAAAAGACTACGCAAACATGGCGCAAATTCTACCGTAAAGCATACACCACATCTTACAATACTTCGCTACTCCTAAAAAATATAAACATTTATGTGTTTATATGGGGTAACTATTTGTGACTACTTTGCGGTAACAGATTAAAAAGAACAACGCAGCTTTTGCGACACCCCAGTGGTACCTCTATGCAGAACAGTGACGTACTCGTGTGGCTTTAGCTGCCACTTTTAGAATAATTGAAATTTTAAAGAAGAAACATCAAATATATGTATTGAATGACTTTTAGAATTTGACAATTGACTAAAATATTTTAACTGCCGAAGAGTTGAAACCTGTAAAAGGCTAAAGGATCATTTTCTGGTCTGAAGGAATAATTTTTCATCGCTCTGCTCTGGGTTCATTAATTTTCTTTATTTCCACCCTCAACCCATGTCCAAAAATGAGTGGTGCCGTGATTTATACTTTCCAAGTATCGATTGCATTCATGGCAGATTCAGTGTTTGCTAATGAAGTGAGGTGGTCTCGGCACGGTGCCAGGCACGGCACGGTTAAATTTTCGTAGTGTAAACGCTATCCGGTCTGAGCACGGTTTCGGTGCGGATTACTGCGCATGCGCCAAACGAGCCTTGGCCTTTTTCCCGCGAACTTTGACAGTTCTGTCATCAATTCTGTCTATGTGGCTGCCCAAACTAAATCAACCGCCATAATTGTTTTCATCCGGGTAATTTGCATAGGGACTGTAATTAACTTTTCTGTGAAGAGTTGCACATTCGGAATGTCTGGCCCGGTTCCGAGCCCACTTATTTTAGAGTAATGTAAATGGGTAAATTTCTTTAAATTTATCGCGGCCAAGTGTAAACCCAAACGCCACGATCGCTTATATATACAAAAAACGTGCTATCATTTCTTTTTGCGAATAATCACCTTGACTACCCTAACTATAAAATTATCAAATCAATGATGGCAACCAACTTCATTTTTTTTTTGGCAAAAATGTTTGATGATTCCCTTAGAGAGCCGTTCTATGTGTTGACAGCATGAAAACAAATTATATTAGCCTCGTGAACTGTTGATTGACGTGGTATGAAGAACCGCCTGATTGAAGGGTCCCTGGTTGAAAAAATATTCTAGCAGAGAGAAAATTTGATCAAGCCATTTAACATGACAAGAGGGGGGTTTGACCTCTACATGAAGAGCCCAGTAATTATAGGCAATTCTATTAGCCCCCCGTTCAATAATATTATTTACCGTTGACCAGAGTCTCTGTATGCCTGGTATAAATCTTCAGATGTCATGCGGACTGTCGAATGCTGCCATTCATAAAATATCCATTAAGCTATATCAAAGAACTAGACAACCACAGACGAAGTTGTCAAACACATTTTAAACACATTATTTCCTTTTTCATTCGTTTGTCAATTTTTTTCTTTATTTTTTTGGGAGGCAATCGAGTAAAATAAATCTCATAAAATCGACTAATAGGACATATTTATTTAAGGTAGTAGCTAGTCATCTACATGCAAGTTAGAATTGTGTGTGATCATTCTAATTGCTAAAATTCTAAATATATCAATTAAGCTCAGTCACATGCAACCTATCGAATAACACCCCATGTATATCTGAAAATATCGGCATAATTTGTTAACAAACGACATTTTCTAGTCTTTCGGACCGTACGCAACACCGAGGTCATGTGTATACCTTTGGCAGCACGTTAAAGATCCCTTGACAATAAACTCAACTAATGGAACATATTTATTTAAAGTAGCAGGGAGTTTATTCACGCTTAAACTGTGTATTTGATCATTAACCTACCATTAATTATGCTACTATTAAAGTTAAAGATAACTACTCTTAGGTATTAGATACACAAAAATCTAAAAGTTTTTGAAAAAAAAAAATAAATTATTTGTCGATTACTAGCACTTTCGCTTATTTATTTAAGCTCTTCAGATAATCAACATATTTTTCAAAAACTTTTATATTTTTGTGTATATATATATGTATATAAATATAATAATCTAAACATTTAATTAAGCTCTGTTACTTGCTCCCCTTTTGAACGACACAGAGCTAGACGAAAACTCGAGATCCCATGTTTAACAATTAATAGCAGGTTGAATATCTCCCGGAAGTTAGAAATTGAAATTAGAGTAGGCCCTAGCGCCCCAGTGCTGTCGGAATTTTTCGTAATACCACATGGCGTATTCCTCATTAGGTTAATTAACAGTTATTAATTATTGGCTGTTTTCTGATTTATTCACTGAATTTAATTTTGTTGTTTTATTTCAGGGTGACCAATCAAAGTACGTGAAGCAATTTCACTATACCACGTGGCCAGATCATGGAGTTCCTAAGTTCGGCAATTCATTACTCCTCTTCCGTCAAAAGATCAGAGCTTTTGATAAACTTGATAATGGTCCTGTTGTTGTCCACTGCAGGTGAGTCGAACGATTGTTATTGTTAAATATTTGTAAATTGTACCATCATGGGTCACTTTACTTTTTGACTGGACGAATTTTTGAAATTGTTGTGCTTATTGAAAAACGTATCATCGTTCCGAAGGGAAACCAACCGAGGATCCCCCGTGTACTTGTACGAAAAAGAACCACTGACAATTCGATGACGAGTAGGCGGAAATGCCACTTTCCAGGTGTAATTTCCACTGCATGACGTATGTTTAATACTAAGCGACGTTTCGACGAGGATACTCTAGTCTTTGAGTATCCTCGTCGAAACGTAGGAGTATCCTCGTCGAAACGTCGCTTAGTATTAAACTTAGTAATTGTGTATCCATAAAATTTGGGAGGGGGTGGGGTGGGTGGATGGCTGAATGGTTAGCACATGCACGCTGTATCATAAAGGCTGTCATTGAGTCAACTGGTGTGGTTTCGATTCCCCGGTTGTACGTGACAAGGAGTAGGGTCGCCTGTCCAACCTCGTGGGTTTTCTCAGGGTCCTCCAGTTTCCTTCCACTGCTAAAGACCGCTACGCGCAAGCAAATTATGGAAATAAAAATGAACCATATGTTAGTCCCGAAATGACCTAGTTTGTGTCGAGTGGACGTTAAACCCCATTTCTCTCTCTCCCCATAAAATTTTACGAAGTATGATAGAGAATTATACGATTACTCATATACTGCTACCTTATTAGATACCCAGTGTCGGTCTGTTACAATGAACCATGGTGTATGTTAGAGAATACGATTACTCATATACTGCTACCCTATTAGCATCAATTGGTGTGTATCAGTAATATTGTTAAATCACCAACACCGTGATTGATTGACCAACATGAAAGGATTAGAACGAGTTCAAATTCATCTTAGATAAAACAACATGAGTTTTTATATCGCCGATTGATGCGAGTAAATGATGAATAATCGACATTACACGAGATATCTTGTTAGGAGTGGATGTTTTATTTACAACCTCCAGTTCTTTGATCGTGTTAAATAAGGAATTGATGTAGAAATAAAGACTCTGTCTGATTTGCTTGTTTTCTTTTTATTAAATGTTCTAGATTGGTGGGGTATATCATGTAAGAGTTCAAAATGATAGAACCAATACAGTTAATAGTAAGTGCAGGAGGATACCGAATTACGCAAGACAAACCTACGGACAGGATATAATATACACAAGACAAACCTACGGACATGACACAATATACACAGTCATATCAAACAGTAAACATCAAACGTATATATCAAATCAAATTAATGGATCAGATATCCCAAAAAAGATAATGTTTTAAAATAAAATGGATCTGGGTGCAAGTCGTGAGCATCCACTGGGTTGTACACCCCTAGACTTGTAGTGATATAGGCTTCATTCAAAATAAAAACAAACTTACAATAAGGAAAACAATCAAAGAAAAATATATTTGAAGTCAAATATTGGTGATAGTTTTTTTTGTGTGTCATTTGGATTTTGCAGAAAATATCAAATTTTTCACTGCTTAAATATAGTCAATAAAATTTAAAATTCAATTAATTAAATCGAAGCCAGAGATTTTTCATCGTTGATATTTTTATCATTAAATAATCAATTTGAGTAAAAATAAAACCGTGAAAAATGTGATGTTATCTGAAGAATGCAAGGATTTTAAAGTTATTTCAAGGATCTGTCATAGTTTAATGAAATTCAATAAATTGCATTCTTCATTATGCTTGATTTAATAAACGTGGAAATGACAGTTGCAAGTTATTCAAGTTACCGGCTTTACTTTGACTTCTGCTTCTTGAATTGTCATCTGTTGCATGTGAAGGGGTTGATGAAATGAGCAGAAGACAATGCGTGCCGATTGACTTGCCCACTTGAATCCACTCAACATGGCGGCTGAAGTGGATGAAATGATCTTTCAGCGTGATGAGTTTTGAAGCATACATGACAGAAACCTGACGCCTTCATTAATCAGTGACAATTGTCACGTTCGGTCCTGTTCGTCTGTAGCCCGGTTGGTGCAGAAAAGAGGACGTTAATCCCCATTTCATTCATTTCCCATCTTTTGATTCTTAATATAAATATCAACATACCAAGAAAACTAAGATCAATTCTGTTATAAACGAAAGGAAAGAGAATTCGAGGCCTATATAAGGTTATTATAAATATTATTCAAAATTGAAGTGGCCGATCAGAGCGTGCATTTTTCAGATATTATCTTTTCACGTCTTGATTAATTCTAAAATGGACGATTATTATTTAACATTTAATTAAGAAAACTAAACCAAAATATCATCGGTAGTTAATTCCTCAGATGGGATATGATCGGATTAAAGATAGGTACTGGTTTGTTTATGCCGTCTCCATAGGATACCAAATGTTGAAAAGTTTTCAATTCATCATATCTTTGTAAATATTAAACGGAATTGAAGCAGTTTTGGGCCCGTGGTGCTTTTAGAGATTCGTCTTTAAATTGTAGTTTTCGACTGATTCAAATACGGCCCAGAGACGTTAATATTAATATTTTCAACGTTCACAGTATTGTAGTTTGCGACGGATTCAACATCCCGTGACTGAATCAACGGCTTCAATTGCGCATTTCTTGGTGTTAATGCATCGAGAGCCATGATATTCCTTTGGGGACAGAGCTACCTTCACAATAGTATAGCTTTCGACTGATTCAAAATCCTTAAAAATTATGATTAGAGATGTTTTGCTTTTTTTCTCGGTGGTGATGCATCGAAAGACATGTATGTTTCACGGCAAAAATAATATTGTAGTTTGCGAGGGATTCACAATCCCTAAAATTGTGATCGACAGCTTTGATTATTCATATTTTCTTGTTTGGTGAAAGCAACTAAACTACGGAGTGGACAGAGTTTACAAAAGTGTATAGTTTTTTTTTTCAAATGTAGTACTATTAATCATGAACGCCACGCTTTACTCATAATAATAACAACCATTTAATTCACCCAAACAAGATAAACGACAGCTGCACTCTGATATTTGTCCAAATTTATCGACAACTAAGATTTAAAAAATATTTGTTTTAAACGACACGCGGTACTAATGGAGGATGTTATTTTTGCTGTCAATTTGAAGCGCCCCCTGTGAATAATGAAGAGGGGGATAATAAGGACCCCTGGGGAGCAGATTTTGATTATTCTAGCTTCCATTATCTTGCAATGTGTCGAATTCATTCTGTGGAATCACGACCAATCAAACAGCGAGTCATAAATCACTAGACACATCATATTACAAATGATCGACATTACATTATCCACTGACCCAGTCAGGCCACCAGGGGACGCTTCAAGTCAAATTTGACATGAATTAGGTTAACCTGATTTCCATATTGATACATGATATTGTATTGAGTTATTTTAGACAACACATGCGTCTCTAGTAGAGTATGATTTATAACAAAATAAAAATAGTTTTAGATGAGAAGAATTTCTTTAATATCAAACAACTGTCAGTAACAAATGAGAAAGCAGCAATTCCCATCGACATGCTTAAAATAGTAACAATATTTTTATTATCAATTCATGAAATTGACATCCACATCATTTCCAAACTTATCGAATCTTATAAATCTCCCCAGTTTCAAATACAACGTTTGAAAACTTTTATTGTTAAATTGGTTGACTTACAAAATAAAGTTTGTTTACAATAAGTTATGTCATAGAGAGATACGCAATGGATATTATTCAAAAATACAGCAATTACCATAGCTTCAACTGTTCGAATTTCAAAATTAATATGCATATTAACAATTGATATGAATATTCAACAATTAATATGAATATTCAACAATTAATATGAATATTCAACAATTAATATGATTAATGACATGATATTGTTATTGTCTTTGAATGGTATAAACTTACAAAAGACAATTTTGTTGATATCAAAACCCCTAATGTCAGATCTGGGAATGTGGAATGCTGCCAGACAGTAGGGTTTCTGCTAATTGTTATTCGAAATCCAACTGACATATGACGTGGAGTTGGTATGCCTTGCCATTCCAACAATGATTGTGCATGTCCAGTACCGATTAAAATACTAAAGTAGGTTTGCTGCTGAAATTAGCAGAATGTCAGTTGATAAGTCAGTTAGAACAAGCCTGTTTTTCCCCACACACCACCCCTAACGTCAATGTTTTTATTATTTCAGTGCTGGAGTTGGTAGAACAGGAACCTATATATCAGTAGATAGTCAGTTAGAACGAGCTAAATCAGAAGGTATTATCGATGTGCACAACTTTGTACAGTTGATGAGAACACAGAGAGTCAATATGGTGCAAACTCTGGTAACTATTACATGTTCTACCATCTCTCTCTCTCTCTCTCTCTCTCTCTCTCTCTCTCTCTCTAAAGTAAGCCATTTTGATTGGTTTGATCATAGATCATAGATATTAGCTCTTATATATTGTCCTTCAATCTGATTGAAACACAGATCCTATTTCGTTTCGTTTTTTATAGTTCAAAATTTCGTTTTACTTGTCTTTACTACAGTACTACGAAACGAAATATAGATCTGTATTTTAATCAGAGTGGTTGTCCTTAATTTGATTATTATTTGCGTCTCCTTGTGAAAAAAGATAAATGTGATTATACTATCCGATCTAAGTCTATACATACAAAGTGACCAAGTAGTGTACTCATCGCCGGCCTTTGGTTATGTCACAGCTCTGTGCAAAGTATACTATATGCCACAACCCAACCTTCAGGACACAATTTCAAGAAATGATGTGATATCAGGGTAGATTATTAGTTTCTTGATAGAACGTATTTCTGAAATTGATGAAATGGAAAGAAATTAGGTTTGACATCTTATTTTCTTGCACCCACAGTGATAACGAAGATGGGCACACACCATGCTGAGTTCCATGAAGGCAGTATCCGCCAATTAGAGTCCTTTTAGCCAATGTGTACACGGGGTTTCTGATTTTCGTCCCATCTGAATGACTAGAGTTTAATCAATGGCAGACTTTCTGTTCTTTGGTTTACTACAGGATATGAACCTACCTGAACCAGGAAACAAATGCTAATCTACAAATAGTTTACAAGAAAACTATCTGAGATTTTAACGTGTACAGTTAGTAGATCAAGATTAATACTTAACCGGTTAAGGATGTTGTTCAGTGCAACACCAGCATCCCTTTCTAATAAAATATATTTGAACTTAGAAATTCTTTTATTTACATTTACCAATAATTCATCGCTTTGTTCGTTTTGAAATAACTGCCGAGTCTTTTCTTCTTGACGAATCATGCGTAAAACAGTGAGCACGGATTTAACTTTATGCTGTGCCATTTGGAAGAATCTATTTTCAGGGTGCTTAGGGGATTAGGAATTATCACAGCTAATGCCAACACGACAAGGGTTAGGTTAAAAATTAAGGGGAGGGTTGCCGATCCAAAGTAACTTAACTCTAACTCAAAATTCCCTATAAATGTATTTTCCGTGTGGAAATGACCTCCCCATCCGGTCTGAACTCATCCTAAACGCACCCGATCTCCTGAAAATAGACAATACCGTCCTAATTCGGCATTCAATAAAGCTACAAACAAAAGATCTGTAATGCTTTATGAAATTATGCCAAAAACAAAAACTCCTTTGATGAAATTCCTTTAATAAAAGGAACAAAGCTCCATGAACTTGTTGAAGTGTGGCAAGATTTCAACGATTCATTTAGTCCTGATTTTTAATTACACGCCAGAATTTGATGACGAGTTAAAACAAAATCTGACAGCGGAGAGGAAGTTGAAGAGTTTTAATAATAGTCAAGTAGTCGAGAATAATTAACACACAGTTCTTCATAATTGAGAGTCAGTACAAAATATCTCTCTTAAAATATTTTGGACTTGGTTCAAAATGTTTGGAACAGATTCCAATTGTGAACAAAATTAATTAAATAGAGATCTCATTAGTGTTATACAAGTTAATAATTAACAAAGATTTCTTTATAATTGGTAATCAGTACAAAACATTTTTCTTAAGATTTTTTGGTATTACTGATCAGATTTTGGAAATGACTTGCACATAGTTTAAAGTTTTCAATAGTGTTATGTATGAGAGGGGGATAGGTAAGATTTTTTGGTATTACTAATCAGATTTTGGAAATGACTTGCACATAGTTTAAAGTTTTCAATAGTGTTATGTATGAGAGGGGGATAGGTAAGATTTTTTGGTATTACTAATCAGATTTTGGAAATGACTTGCACATAGTTTAAAGTTTTCAATAGTGTTATGTATGAGAGGGGGATAGGTAAGATTTTTTGGTATTACTAATCAGATTTTGGAAATGACTTGCACATAGTTTAAAGTTTTCAATAGTGTTATGTATGAGAGGGGGATAGGTAAGATTTTTTGGTATTACTAATCAGATTTTGGAAATGACTTGCACATAGTTTAAAGTTTTCAATAGTGTTATGTATGAGAGGGGGATAGGTAAGATTTTTTGGTATTACTAATCAGATTTTGGAAATGACTTGCACATTGTTTAAAGTTTTGCAATACTGTTATGCATGAGAGGGGGATAGGTAAGATTTTTTGGTATTACTGATCAGATAGTTTAAAGTTTTCAATAGTGCTATGTATGAGAGGGGGATGGGTGACCGAATAGTTAACGCGTGCGCGTTGGATTACAAGATCTGTCATTAAGTCAAGTGGTGTGATTTCGATCCCCGTTTGTATGTGGCAAGGAGTAGGGTTGCATGTCTAACCTCATGGGTTTTCTGCGGGACCTTCGGTTTCCTCTTCACTGCTTAAGACCCCTACGCCTAGTTTGTGCCGAGTAAACGTTATATAGCGCTAGTCCGTCCATATAGTGGACGACGATAGTTAACACACTGATAATCAGTAAAAAAGACATTTTCTTTAAAATATGATAATTAATATTCCATGCAAAATAATTTAAAGCTTTTCTTAAAATATTTTGTAATTACCGATTAGACTTGTGTAAAAAATAAATTGAATATAGATTCCATTCGTACTACGCGATACCCGTAATAAATATGGAAAATAAAATATGGAAAATATATTTTTTTTTTTTAAATAGTTTTTTATATAAAATATAAATGAAATGGTTGGAATTTATTGTCGAATATATTAGGACTAACACGCGGTTACTTTTATTTACTATTGTCACGTGTACAATGCAGAAAAGGGAGAACAACTTTTTGTCCTGACAGTGGCATTTTCACTTAATCTTCTCCGAATTCCATCTGTACGTGGGCTCATTGACTATATGGCGCTAGCTAACTAACAGGTCCTCGGTTCGATTCAGGGTTTTCCAACAAGGTGTCCCCCGTGTCACGGGAAGTTTGGGAATAGATAGAGTCTAGTCTTGTGAATGGTAGTTACAAATCGAGATCCCGTGTGCACCTCAGCGGGCCGTAGGAATTCGACGAGGAATATGTGGAAACACCGTTGTGTGGGCAAAATATATCTCATAGCACAACGCCCACCTTCATTAGCCAAGTTGGTGCAAGATCTTAACCCCCCGACCACCCCTCCACCCTTCATTTCAGTTTATTCCAAGAATAATTTACTAGCCAGGAGAAAGCTAAGAGTATTTTTAACCGATGTAAGCGAGTTACATCCCTTGGTGTATGAAATTGATCCGGATATAGTTGAGGCGTATATAGGGATGCTTTACGATGTTTGTAGCGTAAACGATTGAATTATTACCCATGATGGTATTACTCATCAACAATAGACGTGCATGTTTATCGTTATACTTGTCTTTGAGGCGAAACTTGAGCTGATGTGAGAATTGGTATCTGGTGTCGGTCAAATAAACAAATGGTCACATCACTCACTTGAAATTGACATATGGTTCGACCCCTTTTATTGATTTTAGACAACAATTACCAGCCATTCACTTTGAGTATATCGATCTAACAGTTATCACGTTCACATCAGCGAACTGGACTGACGAACGAATCCAGTATTTTTGTTTCGGTTTTAGTATTTGTTTAGCCACGAGCGTTTCAAGTCGGAAATATTTTGGTATTGCTCCCCAGTAGACTATCATATAGTAACTCATTTTCAATAAAAGGCTTGATCTCACTTTAACTCCGTATATCTTATCAAGCTCTTCATGTAATACCTTGCATATTTTGTCATTAATTTCGATTGGCTACTGACCCAGCGGGGGACCTCTCAGATTCCTCGATAGAAAATATCATCGCGAATACCAAGGCCCCCCTTTTAATCGCCATTACATCTTTCTTTTTGATTTATATCATCATCATTTATTTGCTATAAGACTTATTGTTTTTTCTGGGATTAGTATATAATTATATATTATTGTTGTTCTAGGAGCAGAATATACATTATTGTTGTTCTATGAGTAGAATACACAGCTGTGTATTATTGTTGTTTTTAGGAGTAGTATATATTGTTGTTTTATAGGAGCAGTATATATTTGTATTGTTGTTTTATAGGAGCAGTATATATTTGTGTATGACTGTTTATTAGAAGCGTTAATATGTGGTGATACAACTATACCAGTTATCAACTATCCTACAGTATACAGAGATCTCGTAACTTATAACCAAGATCTAGGAAAATCTAAATTAGATGAGCAATTTGAGGTAAAGTATTAAATATTTATACAATTCTCTCTTAAATCAGTTGTTCCAAACCATTTTAGATATCTTGACACCCCCTCCCGACCTCCACCACACCAAAAAATTCAAACAAACAAATCACATACACCTGTATTTACTCCTTGTTCAATCACATTTCCCATATTAGGTGGTATGGCTACTTTTCATATACATCTTTGAGAAACTCTAACATGGGCCATTTGAACAGATCTTCTATTTTTTTTTTTCAAGTAAACTAACCCGCACAAGTACTAGAATCGCATATTACCTAGAAATATTCCAATGATACATCTGCATTTGATGAGTCTTATAATTTACACTAGCCGGTTCCCAAACTCTTTTGGAGCATGAACGCAAATAAACGTCTGAATAAGTATAAAATATGAATACTTCAAATAAAATTTAAACGAACCTTTTAATTTTTATCGAATGATTTACTTTTTTTTTGCGATAACAGGATTTCCTGACCATCAACATTAGTGGGTTCAGAAACGTTTGTTCTTATTACAATGATATCATTTTCAAATTACTTCCCCTTGCATTCAAATACGGGGGCGTGCTCCTCACGTTGGGGATTAGGGGTGTCATGGTAATTTATGTCATTTATGTAATTCTGTTTGCAGTGACTAAAACTTGTTAGTTATGTAAAATGTGTTTGTTCCAAAAGTAAATATCTAAATATTTCCTGATAAATCTGGGACATCAGTTTGAAGTTTGAATACTGTTTAAAATTGTTTATTTTTATATTTCAGATTTTAAAGCTTTTATCAACAACCATAGAACGAGATGAATCTACGACAGCATTAAGAGCTGAAAATATCTTTAAAAATCGCTGTAAAAATATATTACCAGGTATAAACATTGCCAAAAGATCTAAGATAAATTTATTACATTAATTAAATAATCAGTGTAATTTAGTACAAAATAATCACTTGATATCACTTGATTATGTTGGGTGGTCATTAGTCCCCATTTTCTTCGTATACACCCATGTTTAAATGTGGTCGCATATCTCATCCCAATCTGTCCGTCCGTTCGTCCGTCCGTCTATAATCTAAGTGTATCATCCTCAAAATTTATACACAGTGTTTCCATTCAGGAGACGAAGAAATCCTTTCATTTTTTTTTTTACCGATTTCCAATAATTACTGGCAGAGTTATGGTACTTGATTACCTTGATAAATCTTGTTGAGGCTCTAAAGGTAAAAGTTATTATCGAAAATGTATGTCGATTTTTCGACATGATTTTAAACATTTAAATCGCAGATGTTGGTAGCAATTGGTCGGCTAGACATCAGTTTGCTATTTAAAATCACCATGCACACAGGTCGTACAGTTTTCCTGACTTGAATTGACTTTGAATGGAGTTATTTAAAGTGATCCCAATGATGACAATCAGCTTAGACTAAATAAAAATGTTATATTAACCTCTATGTGATCTGTGTTTCAGCCAATCGTTGTAGACCTTATTTGATTACACCATGGGAAGAAGGCAATGACTATATCAATGGTGTTTTTGTTAATGTAAGTTTTTATTCGGTTCACGTTATTAGTAAATCGAAAACGCCTCTTGTTCCCTTTGAATTATATTTCTTACATCCGATCATAGTCATTTGTGGGAATTTGAATCCTTTAGAAAACTACGGTATTGTAAAAGAAATATCAATCCAATCCAATCCAAAAAAGGTTCAATATTTAAATTGATATGGCATATTGAAAATTTTACAACATCCGTCATTCTCCGAGGACGATATGAACAAGCTAGCACCATCAATAAATGTTGAGTAAAATCTTTTGATAGGCCTCCTTTAGATTCGTTTGATTCCAAGTTGTAAGATTATCTACTGTTTATATTTTATATAAGTAATCAATGTGGGTTGAGTCGTGAAATATTACATATAATTGGAAAACTCAATTTATGATCAACGGTTTTAGCCATATATATATTGAATTACAACGTCTAAGTTCATCTATACAGAGGTTCATGCCATGATACAATATCAGGGTTTATATTAGACCATGATTAACTCGGCAATAATGAATTCAGACGAAAGATTATACAAGGCATTGACCCCTTCGTCTCTACCGGTGGCTGTGTGTTTAATAAAGACCCGAAGCGAACACGGACTTTCTGTGGCTAGAATTTCAAATTTCATCCCGATGTTAATGACATAACGTACCCCATTGTGAAATATCCGACCTTTTAGTAACATGATGCCATTATTGAAACCAAAGTTCGAATTATTCCTCATTAAAAACTGTTTCCGTTTTCATTAACCCAGTAGACAGAGAACAGTAGAACGTTAAACCCCATTTCATTTATAAATTGTTTTTATATTTAGTAATCAGATCATTATGTGTGATTATATGGGCAGTTTGTAATAAACTTTTTATGTTTATCCTTTTGTAGAGTTACCACAGAAAAGATGCGTTTATTGTAACCCAGATGTCGTTGCCTAATACAGTGGTTGATTTCTGGAGATTAGTTTACGACCATAATTCATCGTGTATAGTCATGTTAAATGAATTGGATCTTAATGATGAGGTAAATACATCATTATTATTCTTATTATTATTATACAACACCCTACATCTTACAATAAGGAGCCACGGTGGCTTAGTGGCTCGCTAACCTTAAGGTCGCGTGTTCGATCCCTGCATTGGCCTAGAAAGTTCATCGGGATTTTCCGGTGTGGTGTAGAACGACGCGCCTGATAAGGACAGCTGTCTAGTAGTTCGGATGGGGCGAAAAACCCAAGACATGTGTATACATTGGTGTGTACGTAAGTGATTCCTTGGCCATAGTGCCGCTGTCCTGGCAAAATTCCCTCATAGTGCCCCGGAGCAGAACAGTAGGACGTTAAACCCCGTTTAATTTCATTTCACCGAAACCAACTAGTACCTGTGTTTAAGATCCAAGGAAACCTTCAAAATCCCGGGACATCTTCACATCTCATGTCTAAACATTTTTGTTCCGAAATCGCTGTGAAAATATAATTAATGTTAACCCTGAAACATGCAGCCCATAGAATTATTGTGTTCACGCGCTTTATAAATGTTGATATATTATTATATTATATTATTAAAGGGAATGACCTACTGTTTATGGCAAATTTGTCCTTACCTACATATTTACTTGATTTTGTATTTCAGACATGTGAAGTATATTGGAGTTTAGATCCGTGTGGAATCAGCTATGGTCCCTTTATTGTAGAAACTACAGCCGAGATTAAATCCGACCCTAGTGTCACGATACGAGACTTCACTATTACTAACACATTAAATGTAAGTATAATTCTACCCCTCTTGTCAACCGTCAAGAGTTCGGTTACGGGCATCTAAATGTGTACACGGATATACCTCGTTTTTTTGTCCAATCCATGATACTAGGAAACCTTCTAGTGTCCTTGTGGAACCACGGTGGCTAAGTGAGCAAGACGCTGGCTCGCTAGCCTTGAGGTTGCGGGTTCGCTCCAAGTGTTAGCGGAGAAAGAGAATAGGAATTTTCCAGCTTGGTTTCGCCTTGTCAGTGGTGCAGGACGGAGGGCCTGACAAGACGTTCGGGTGGGACGAACAACCGAGGTCCCGTGTACACATTGGCGTGCATGTAAAAGATCCCTTGTCTGTTAAAATAAGGGAGAAAAGCCAGGAAAAAGGTAACATTTCTGAGATCTAAGGATATTCAGCTGTGTAGCTATTATATATTTTTTGTGCTTTTAGCCTGATGATCCACCACGAGTTATACGACAGTTTCACTTTCACCATTGGGCCGATGGTAGTGCTGTACCTAGTTCCAAGATGGCGTTGTTAGAGTTACTAGACATGGTTGAGAGATGGCAGCACCAGACTGATAATACATCTGTTACCGTCCATTGCATGTAAGTTCTTATTTAAACTCCATCATCTTATGCTAGGTTGCCACGATTCGTGCTACGACTGAAATCGTGAAGTAATCGTTAGGTCAGTCGTAGAAATCCTGTTGATCGTATCTGCACGTCCAGATCGTGGACTAAATAGCGACTATCCTATCATCGCACCATAACACATCGCATTAGTGATTTTTCAGCCAGGACATGAAGTCAAAAAAGTAGGGCATCATATATCCATAAAGTTATCGTCCATTGCCTGTAAGTTCTCGTGCTGCTATATTATATTGCGTCCTTGGAGATTTTGTCAGTCGTCTGAATTAAAATAAAATCAAAATGTCTTTTAATTAAATTACTGTCATTTACACCGTTTTGTGTTTTTGAACCAAATTTTACGTTGTAGAATAGTCACTGTCAACTGTCAGCTATTATTGTTGACAAACAAGGCGAAGGAAAATCGCAATAAATAGTAGTTTATATTTCCAGGAATGATTATGCGTTGCTGGGTTTGCTTTTTCTAAACAATGTTTAAATTTCCAGGAATGGAGCTAGTCGGAGTGGATTATTCTAAATATTGTTTTAATTTCTAGGAATGGTGAAAGTCTGGGTTCTTTATTTTAAATATTGTTTATATTTGCAGGAATGGTGCTAGTCGCAGTGGATTATTCTGTGCTGTTAGTTGTATATTAGAGAGGTTGAATGTTGAGAAAGAAATTGATGTGTTCCAGGCAGTAAAACAACTCCGATTAAACAGGTCGCAGTTTATAGATAATATGGTATGACATTAGACTTTTTATTTCGTTTTGGGGTGTTGTGCTTTTGAATCATATCATTTCATTTCATAAGAATTTCATTTATATATAGTTCTAATTTGGTATAAGGGGCGATTACTCCAGATAGATTCCTTGACTTGTACTTCTTTCCCCATTGATGACAGTGTTAATCCGTTCTATTTTATAACTTATAACATTTTTTGTCAACAGCCTAAGGGAACGAAACAACTGCTCTAGGAACTAAATAAAGAGAGAGAAGTCCTAGTCCTATATGGAGGCAGGCCACCATTATTTTCTCCATTGACTTTAATAATAATTTTCGACTCTTTGCCCGGCTACAACTGCTCCCAACATTTCTGTTGGTCTAAACACTTTTCACTACAGACAGAGCAACAACTGATCGTGTATTTGCTCCAAAGCAGTGGTTCTCAACCTTATTTTGCCAACGGCACACCTTGGAACACATGAAAAAATAGCGGTACATCTGGCTAAATAATATAAAACACAAATGTATATGGAAAACAATCACTGGGTTTGATTGTTTTCCATATAAATTTGTATAAACCCAGTGATTGTTTTCCATATAAATTTGTGTTTTATATCATATGTTCAGTTACTAAATGCCGTATAAGGATTTCACCTGGCTAAATATATATGAAAAATATTTGAATTTTGCAAAATAAAAACATGATAAGTCAGACGGAATACAACCGTAGACAGAGACTAGTCATAGACACATAGAATGATTCAAACTAAATACAGAAAAACACAGCTATGAACTTAACAGTAGACACCAGAGAATACTCAATTGCGATCGCGTGGTTTTTCATATTTTCTTAGTGTGCCGTTCGAACTTTCGCAGCACACCTGTGTGCCGTGGCACACTGATTGAGAATCACTGTTCCAAAGTTTGTATGCGTTTGACTTCTGAGATTATGAGATACATGGCTTCCGAATGTCTCTGTTGATTTGTGTGTTTCCAGTATAATCCTGATACTTATATTATGTTTATATGATTGCAGGAGCAGTATAAATTCTGTCATGACGTCGTCTTGGATTATTTGAAAGACCCAGAATCACCTTCCGCTCTTTCATAACCCCTGATTACTTCTTAGGTCATTGGTTCAAAGGTCGCGAGAATTCTGTATCAGCAATCATACCGTGAACACTGGTGCAATAAAAGTGAAAGAAGCTGAATGGGAAAATAGCAAAGATGTAGGGAATGATTGGTCAAGATATTATATTCAACCAATCAGAAAGCCTGTTTATAACTATTTGTTTGAAAACGAAAGTAGAAAAACTAGATAGTGCGGCAATACAAAGCGTGTGTGTATATCTAGGAGTTCAAATTCTTATCATAAAGTGCCAAAATATATCCCTATAACAGTATAAGAAAAACTATACATTATCATTGTTAAGCTTGATTGGTCGAATATCTACAGCGGAAACGGAGTGGAACAATCTGATTGGATGTGAAATAAAGTACTAAAGGTCAAGCTGGGGTTAAAGGTCAATCCAAAAGAACCTTTATAAGTGGACATTATGTTTTCTATTATGAAAAAAAGTTTCTAGTTGAAATTCAGCTCTCTATAAATAGATTCATCTTTATTATTATGTTTTATTATATTCACTGCCATATGTGTAAGCCCTTATTTCAGTGTAGCGAGACTAAGGGATCAGCTAAACGAAATTGTTGAGCTAAGAGATAATAATTAGATTGACTTAATCATAGAAAATATGTAATATTAACTAAACATAACTGGTAGAAATCAAGTCAATATTAATTCATAGGGAACAATTGACAACGGTCATTTTTTTAATTTTTATAGGATTGTTATGAAAGGTTAGTCAAAATCCACATTGCAGAAAGTCCACATTTACTTTTTAAAGTTTCTGATGGCCCTTTGAGTGATTCTGAATCCCTTACCAACTACAATATTGTGAATGTGTTTACATGCAGGAAACACAATGTAGGTACAATCAGGACCATATATAAAGAGTCTGGTCAACTGTGGCTATGTTCACCATTTTGTTACATTAGAACAATATAAAACAAATATAAGTTAATGAGTGTCTCTTTGGGAACAGTTTCTTTGGGAACAGTCTAAGCATCAGTTATTGCATAGCACTTGACCTGAAAGGAATGGGTTTTTTTATATTATCTAGATGACATGTATACTCCATTTCCAATGTTAATAATTAATTATTTAAAATTAAACTAAATGTTAGAATATAGGGACTCATATGCATAGTAGAGATCTATGATATATACGTTTCTGTTGTATAAACCATGGAAATTGCATGTGCAAAGGGCCACTATATATAATTTTCTGCATTGTGAAACATTTTGGTTATGTGTAACAGAGCATCATATATACGTTTCTGTGCTATAAAACAATAAGTACCAAATGGCCAGTATAAAGGTCTGTCATAATAGCGCTAGACTTATATTCAAAGGGCTACATACTTTTATTTAGTATAAAAAGGGTGCTATGTGTATAATAATAATTACTATTACTACATATTATATTAATATCATACTAGTATAATTATATATGTTTATGTTTTTTTATGTTTATTTTAAGTGTATTAATTAGTTTATTACGAAATCTAAAAAAATGGATTGCTTTAAACATGGATAAATTGATATTATCCTTTATAACCCTGCTTTAAACATCACCATCATCAATCATGTCAACTCATAGCCTAGTTCAAATTCAATTTTCGTTTCGTTTCCTTGTTGATTTTTTAAGCTACATAGATCAATTTGAAAGAGAAGCGAAACGAATTAAGATCGTAATTACCTTCTATAAATCAATTTTAAATGAACATAGATAAATCTGATAAAATATAAACGAAATTACCTTGAAGCTTATATGAAATCATTATTTTGTTTAATTTTAATTTTAATAAAAAAAAACGCTAAACGTTATGTTAATGATATATCATTTTCCATATTGTTTTTAATGTCCGTAAATTTAAATAGTTATTGGTACAATTGTATGGTTTGTGGTTTAGAATAAAAGTCCAGTGATGAATAAATTTTTTTTATAAAATTTAGCCTGGTCGATTCTGAACAGTAGTCAAAATAGAAATTCTAGTGAAAGAATCATATTAAACAACAGCGAATGGACTTCCAATCCATATGTAGCTTACTGGAATTTGATACATTGATTTTATTGTTAAATTAGCGTAACATAAAGTTAAATTAATGTTAAAGTTAACTTTAGAAAGGAATGTTAGAATCGCGTCAAAGAAACGTTAAATTTAACTTTCGAAAGGAATGTTAGTATCATGTCAACGTTACGTTAAATTTACTTTAGAAAGGATGTGTGTGTGTGAAATAGTTTTATTTAACGTCCGCTTCTACCATAGTGATATCGCCGATAATCGAGTAAGGAACGTTAATATAACGTGAAATTAACGTTTGATTAAATTTGGCTATTAACGTTTATATAACGTCAACTTAACGTTAAATATTATGCTGATTTCTAATATTAATCTCGTAACGATAAGTAAAAGGAGCTATATAACAGACCATTGCTATGTTAATATGGCTAAAATAGACGCTTTAGCCATACAAATAGTTTGGATTTTAAACTTTAACGCTGCTTTCTAAGTGTAGACATTATAATAGTAATATAATATATTTACCCATATCATTAAATCATTGACAATTGTACATATTCATTGTTTTATAAATATACATTTGCAAAACTGTAAAATAAACGTCTAATATAACCTCTTAACCTCTATACCACCCTCTCCTCCTCCCTGCCCCCTTTCTCCTGTACTGCCGTGTTGTTAGTCTGTGATATATTCAAATAAAATAATAAAACAGAATAAAAATGAAATCATATTTTTCGTGCTCTTTTAACAGTATAGAAATAAAGCTTTCAATGGTGACATGTTGCAAGTTACCAGGACAACGCATTATTTTTTCTTTGATCATTTTGTCGGATTGTATTGTTATGTTACGGTTACCATGACAACGTGTATGTAATAAATAAAACAAGATGTCTGCCGTTTTGAGGAAAATTATTACTGATAGAGTTATGTCGCGTCGATTATATCCCCCGGATGTAACATTGTAGCATAAAACGTTTAATAAAATTAAGTACGATGTTTTTCGGATCGAGGGAAAAGAGTTCTTTTTTAATCATGTCGCCGATCACATCCCGACATGTACCCTTGCCTCACGGCATTCGATGAATATAAACTTTTATTTGGTATCTTATATTAAACAGTCTCTATGTATAATAACCACAATTTTGTCCTGTATATATTATATATCAATACATGTATATATAAAAATATATATGAATGTATGCTTAGTTAAAATAATAGACAAGAGTTAAAAACAATAACGGAAAACTAATTCGTTAATTACTACTCAAAAATTATTATAAAGCTCTAACGAAAAAAATAACGGAAGAATAAGCTCTTCGGTATGTCATTTGATATGATAAACGTTTACCATTTGGAGATTAAAATGTTATGAGAAATATAAATGCAGGTCGGGACTTCTACACCTTTCCTTGAAACTCTCAGTAGTTTCCTTTCATAAGTGACATTTAGTATCTGAAACAGGGACGACGAGGTACCTTCTCCTTTTTTCTTGGTTGAGCTGAAATGTGTACGAAAACAAACCAAATTGGGATAAATTGAAAAGCTACTCCCTTCGTTTATGTTTCCAGATCCAGTAAGGTTTCCTTGAGATATTCTTTTTAGTAGCTGAAACGTATACGGAAACCCTTCGAACATTGGGATAAAGGGGCTTTTCGGGAGCATGATAAATCGAAACGCTATAACCAGAGCTTGTATTCACCTCATCGACGCTTGAAGATCTAATAAGGTTTCGTTCGACTTTTGTGATTTCTGACATCATTTTGGTTTCCAAATCTGTTAGCTTAAGACGACAAGCAGTTTTCTTGTTCTTGATATAGCTGAAACGTGTACAAAAGAACCGGAATGCTGGAGCATGTGAAAACAAAAAGCTAATCAGAGCTTCGATCTCTTCCAGACCCAATAAGGTTTCGTTCGGCTTATATTTTCAGAAAGTTCTAATATTATTCACTAGTTGAGGTAATAACGCATTGTGTGAGTATATATTGTTTGTTAAATGTGTTTTTTATGTTATCTGTTTGTTTTGATATGATGAATTGGGTTATTAAACTATGCATATATAATAATATGGTAATAAAACTCACCTTTAGTATTTAATGTTGTTTTTACGTAGATATGGGGTATGACGTTACTAGACTTGATTAGATTAAAATGAAATAAAATTGTGTTTAATTTCCTACTGCTCGGATCCGATATGGCTAATGAAGACGGGCATGTGTCATATGTACACGGGCCGTTGTTTTTCTGTCCCACCCGATCGAATAAGCGTTGTTCCTTTCCGTGCCCCGTGCCCTAAACCACTGACGAGGGGGTCCACGCTTTGAATACATCCGGTTAAGGTGACCCAGTGGTCTAACGCGTGCCCTTAAGAGGTCTGGCAGGTGAACTGATTTCGATTCCATGCTAGTAGGTGACACGGGGAAGGTTCGCCTGTATAACCCCGTGGAGTTTTTATGGGTCCTCCGGTATACTTCCACAGCTGAGGACAGACAAACTTTTGAAGTAAATTTGTATCATGCGTTCAGGAAATAACCAGATTTGGGTCGAGTAGACGGTTGAGCCGTTCTCTTTAAATGGGAACGAATATGAAAGTCACCCATGTACGTCGCTCCGTACCAAGCTCTTCCTCCCTCATTTCAAATCTAAACTCCGGTTTCATTCAATCGTGGTGAAGAACCCCATTGGCGTGCACGTAAAAGATCTCTTGGTAGTTTGAATTCGATGTAAGAGAGAGAGAGAGAGAGAGAAATGGGGTTTAACGTCCACTCGACACAAACTAGGTCATTTCGGGACTAACATATGGTTTTAATTTTATTTCAATAATTCGCTTGCGCGTAGGGGTCTTTAGCAGTGGGAGGAAACCGGAGGACCCGGAGAAACCTCACGAGGTTGGACAGGCGATCGATGTAAGAGTAGGCCGTAGCAAACTTCCCCCCATAGCACATTGCATGGCATATGTTTGTCGTCCTTAGCTCAGTCGGTGCAGAAAATTTGGACGTTAAACCCCATTTCATTTAACCCTTTCGCTTTACGGGAAATTGGTCAGGCGATACGTTTCAAGTCAGTAGCTTGAAGCGTATATATGGTATTAGTGTCAGTGGCCTGTGGCACGAAGTAACAGTATATTGTCGCATACATAAAATATTATGTCAACGCTTGGGCGATATAATATATTATGTCAACGCTTGGAACTAGGATGGAGGTGACTAGGCATGAACTTGCAACGATAGATTTAATTGGCGCTTTGATAACCAATGAATGCTTTGGAGACATATTTTGGCGGTATTTTCCATCATGGAATCGGTAAGTTTCGATTGTTTTTTTCTTTTCTGTTTTTTCTCTCTTTTCTGTGTCCTAACCCTAACCCTAACCCTAACCCTAATCCGAAAGAAAAGTGCCCTTTTTTGAAATTCTGACATCACAGGTGCCCTTTTTCTGATAAGGATGCCCTCTTTTATTTACAGGGACACTTTCTATTGTTAAGGGGGTGGACCGGTCCCCATGGTCCAACCCCTGGATCCGCTCTGATGACGCGTACATTCCACTGAGTCTACAGGTCTAATATGCTAACACGCTTGGAGCGTCAACACAATATATTATGTCGCCCAAGCGTTGACATAATATATTATGTATGCGACAATATACTGTTACTTCGTGCCACAAGCCACTGACACTAATACCATATATACGCTTCAAGCTACTGACTTGAAACGTGTAGGGTGAATTGGTCGTGGATTACATGAGGTTATTTTCGGACCTACCAATTTCATATCTACGGCTATTATCTCCGTGACATATCATTAGTCGAACAGATTTCTTGAAGAATGTCATCAACATATCAAGTATTATCGCCTTTTAGTGGTTGGTATAGAATTAATCACACAATTAATGTTTATAAACGTTTTGATAGATCTATAGCCAACAGACTTCTTGAAGAATATCGGGTTTAATCGGCTTTTAGTGGTTGTATATCGTAGTGTTAGTACTGTACAATTAGTTCATTTACAGTCAAACAAGCCATTAATGTTTATAAATGTTTTAATATCCATATATAGGTAAATCAGATAGAGTAGGCATCCGTTAAAATATGTTCTAGATGTTCAAGTTACTCAGTACACAAAGAGTATCATTGAAGTTACTTTGTCATTAAGGTGTCAGTTTTCTGTCCATTAACGAGTTCAGTCACGGTGGCGCGGTGAGTTTGCGTCGAGTGGTTTGGGTGGAAGAAAACCCGATGTACGGTTTTCACATTGACCTCCACGTAAATGTGGAATTCCAAGAGGAACAAGGGGAAACGTCGCTGTCCGGGCAAAATGCCCTACCTAGCACCCTTCGTCTGGGAAAGATTACTGTTTTGTTGTTGGTAGTCTCCCTTGTTGTGAGTTTGTTTTCACTTTAAGTGAAGCCCATATTAATACAAGCTTAGGTCTGTACGGCGCAGTGTGTCGATGTGTGTCGATGTGATCAACATCACTACTACATTTTTTATAACACTTGTAAGCTTCTTTAGTGATATCAATATTTTCCAGTCCTAAAATTGTGGCGGTGTGGGTGGGTTTGGTGTGAAAACACAAGGACTGTCATTGCGTCAAGTGGCGTGGTTTCGATTCCCCGCTTGTACTTGACAAGGTGTAAAGCCGCCTGTCCAACCTCGTGAGTTTTCCCTGGCTCCTTCGGGTTCCTTCCACTTAAAAAAAAACCTACGCCGAAGCGATATATTGAAATAAAATTGAATCATATGTCATTCCCGAAACGACTTAGTTTGTGTCGAGTGGACGTTAAAACCCCATTTCTCTCTAACTCGAACAAATGTGTTGCATTTATTGTATTAAAGGAGCATTATGTAAGATTTAGATAAAGAACTGACCGTTCTCGTTATAATAGTTCAAAAATAGTTTATCCAAAAACGAATATATTACAAATTTCATTCAAATTAATTTATTTGGAGCCAAGTTATCAATGGTTGTAGTTTCACAAGATATATACATTGATCGTAACCACCGTATTGGTCATTCGAGTCTTAGCCTCGGTTCTCCATTTTTAAATTAAATCATTAAATGGTCGAACCGTTCTAATCTACTTAAAATCGGAGCCATCTGATGGCACCGAGAGTTGATTATGGTCTTGTCATGTCAATAATATTTAATAAATAATCTAGATAACATTTAAGGCCTAAAGAAAAACCTACAAAAGGCTGATTTAGCTCTTACATAATGCATGTTTAATAGAAAGTTAACAAGAAATCTTCAGTTAATAAAAAAACCTGTATATCCACCATCGCAGTTAATTTCAATAGTTCACTGTACATATTTTCATGTACTAGTGGTACTCTCTTTTATTTATAGTGAATTAAAGGCTTTCCAAATTTTCAGGCTCTCATATTTTCGATCAGTTGAAGACTCTCCGCGTTTCCATGTGCGAGTGGCATTCTCTTTCACATGTATCGTGAATTGAAGACCCCGTGTTTCTATGTGCTAGTGACAATCACTTTCATATTTATCGTAAATTGAAGACTCCGTGTTTCCATGTGCGAGTGGCATCCACTTTCACATGTATCGTGAATTGAAGACCCCGTGTTTCTATGTGCTAGTGACAATCACTTTCATATTTATCGTAAATTGAAGACTCCGTGTTTCCATGTGCGAGTGACAATCACTTTCATATTTATCGTAAATTGAAGACTCCGTGTTTCCATGTGCGAGTGGCATCCTCTTTCACATGTATCGTGAATTGAAGACCCCGTGTTTCTACGTGCTAGTGACAATCTCTTTCACGTGCACCGTGAATTGAAAGCCTCGTGTTTCTATGTGCTAATGACATAATGACAGTCTCTTTCGCATGTTTCGTGAATTGAAGACCCCGTGTTTCTATGTGCTAGGTACAGCCTCTTTCACATGTATCATCAATTAAAGACATCGTGTTTATATGTGCGAGGGGCAGTCTCTTAATAATTAGTCGTGAATTGGAGATTGCTTTATTTACACTTTTGTTTTCTGTAATGAACTGTCAACATTGTGTTATCTTGTGGTTGACACATGACCTAATTAAACCAGCAGAGGAAAATTAACGACTGTAAATAAGATTCTAGGACCAAAAATCGACAAAATGCTCTATTAAAATTTGGTAACTATAAACAATATTGTTAAACACGCATCCGATTTCTTTTTTAGACTTTAAACCACAATCGGTATATGTATATACATTAAAACCCTCTGAACCGACAACTAGAAATCGTGCCGATGTACCGGAACAAACAACCATTAAAAGCTTTACCTTTAATTGGTTCTATTATTTGTTCAGTTGGTGTCATTTTTGTAAAATCGACAACACCAAGGTTGGCATTATCATGATATCGGTTAAAAGACAGTGTTGGGATTACAGAATACACTTGTTGGCAGGATTCAGTAACGAGTTGCCGAAATAGTTATAACACCTTTCCATTTAGCTACAATTAGTAAAGTGTGCGCCTAAAAGAGTAGATGAAATAGCTATAACACCGCTCTATTTTGCTGCATCTAGCAAAGTGTGCACCTTATGCTATAGAGTGAGCGAAATAGTTACAAAACAGCTCCACTTTGCTACAACTAGTAACTTGCGCGCATAATAGAGTGATCGAAACAGATTTAAAAGAAATCGCTCCATTTAGCTACAAGTGGTATAGGCTGTTATTCACTAGGTAAGAAACATCTGATGTCACTTCTTTTGTACCTAACATTTTAAGGTACTTTACTTGAGAAACTAGGATACCAATATCAGAAGATTATTGACATCTATTTGGGGTCGACAATCACACCAACATGCATATTTCTCTCCAAATAGGATTAGTTTTGTTTGTATGCTGTGGTGTTTTGGGTGACGAATCTATCCGACGATTCCAAGCCTTCAGGTACCCACCCATGGAAGGATTAAAGCCACCGATGAAACCAGTGAGTGGGAGTGTTGCTGGATCAACAGAATGCGCCATGATGTGTTCCAGTGATGCAACGTGCACTTCCTTCTCTCATTCAGCAGTTAATGAAATGTGTATGTTATCTCCGGAAATTATAAGACAGTATGATATTAGTATATCACATTCTATAGAACATTGGTATCATTTT